CATCCGCAGTCCCAGCTCTCAGGTACCAGTCCCCCGGGCCGGCGGCAGATCAGAGCGAGGCCACCTCTGATCACGTGACCGCCCCCGGCAGCACACGCCCCGCCCGGGTCACGCAGACAGCCCCGGCTGCAGGCCGGCAGGGCCGTTCCGATAGAGCCCAGCCTCAGGACCGTTCTCCGCGCGGCCCGTCCGTATAACAGCCGAGCAGCCGTCTATATATACACTGACCGACCGACAGCTTTACAACTTTCAGCGATTGATAAGAGCAGCAGTATGTTTTAAATGCTTCTCTGAGATTTATTGATATCGCTAACCTAAAGTCGATTTTGCGACCCATTCATTAAGTCAATGAGAGAAAATTTAATTGCGCTTCTTTGTGAAAAAATTCATGCTAAGTCACAGTGTCAAATATTGGGTCACAGTGAAACAAGAAATATTTGATAGGAAAATAGCAGTGCTAGTAATCCATGAAAACCCGAATACAGATATAGTAACGCTAGAAAGACGCTGAAAAACGATCGTTAGCTCTTATAGTTCTTTCAGCATTTAGGCTATTTTTCACTCAAGCCAACGCTGGGGTCACTATAGAGGCCATGGAAGACAAATTTTGTCCCGTAAAACTTTCCGATATCAACAACTTTTCTCTCATTGGCGCACAACAGAAAAAGCGTATTCGGCAGCTCTTTCGAAGAAGCAAGGCTCTTTCGATGAAAACTATAAAGGACGGCAAATAATTGTCAACAATAAAATACAAAGCAGACACCTTTGCCATTTTTCATAACATCCGGTAAAAAGTTTCCAAAGTATACGCATTGCACCTACATATATTTACTTTATCACATGTGATTTAGCTTTTTTTTCGAAAATTATAGGTAGGAAGAGTTTCGGAAATGCAATTTTCATATCTACATTATTAACATTGTGTTCATTATCTTGAATGGTTTTTAGCACAGTTTTGAGAGACATTATGAATATAATAAGAGATATTAACCTTACTCTCATATTAGCCAAAAGATATAAAATTTCAAAAAGACAAAATACAGTTTCGGGAGCTTTCGGCTTTGCGCCTTTATCAACCGTTATGTATTATTTAGATCATTTTCGTCACAAACTTGCATGGAACAGAAAATTCGAATTGGTACGAACATGCAGAAATCACACACGCACTTCCCAGCTACTCTTTAAAAACGCATCTATGCAAAACTTACAGAGACATAAAAGATTTATCATGAAGTGCAGAACAAGATAGTCATGTCGAAAACATGAGTCATACGTTCAGCGGAGATAGTATATATCGTGGGTACATCATCAATAATGGGTCCCGACCCCCCGACCAACATTAAAAATATGGAGATAAGCATATATGAGGTAAGTACATGCATGCATACGATAACAGTAGTGTACAACAGCACAACCGCACGGCGCACACCCGCGCACACAAGTTTCCACGGTCAGTCAGTTTAGATATAATGACCACTCAGATGATAGGCCAAGACGAGGTTTGCGTGTTAAGAGTGGGTTGAAGTTCGCGAATAAAAATGGATTCCCAAATTTTTCTATCTGGGCCGTCTTTTGACGCATGCAGAATCTTGATTGAGACGTTTGAGCAGTCCAGTTGCACAGAGTGTTTCGTTTGGTGAAGGCCAAAAGGGGTGTCTAGTTTGTTGTTTTTTGCATCTCTCATGTGTTCATTATATCTAAGCCTGACAGATCGGCGTGTTTCACCGACATACACAGACTCGCCTTGTGCGCACAGTTTACATTCCATCTGGTACACCACATTCTTTTCATGACATCTCCCACGCAACCCTGCCTCACAGCATGGACACTTCCTGCCCCCACCTGGGCAGGGTGCTGGTTGGTAGGCCGCCCGCACTAGTTTTTGTTTCAGGTTGGGACCTCCTTTCCATGCAACTTTCAGGTTGAGGTGACTAGCCCTAATGATACCCTCAATCCTGTGGCTGAGTGCATCATCAATGAATGGAAGCGCAAGATAGACGGGGGCAGAGCCCGATCTAGTCGGCCTTAGGCGGTTATCACGTTGGGCTTCGTGTTGGAGCCTGCTAACTAAGTGGGGCGGGTAGCCGTTCTTTGTGAATAGGTCATGGATGAGTTTAAGGCTACGGGCTCGTGGTAGACCAGGGGAAGAGACTTTGATAGCACGTAACGTTTGTGAGCGGACGGCGTTTTTCTTAAGTTGTAACCTATACGGTAACCTCTTAAACGTTAACCTATACGGTAACATCCCTATAAATGAGGCCATTGATGCCACGCTGACACTCCTACAACACCACGTAGACCGAGTGGAAACATTTGGTCTGGAGCTGTCCAGCATGCGTAAGCTACTCGAGCACTGTTTGACCAACAATTTCGTTCGCTTTGGTCAGAACTACTTCAGACAGACGCAAGGCATAGCGATGGGCAGCAGGGTGGCCCCCCCGCTAGCGATAGTCTTTATGAACGCCTTAGAGTCCATGTTTCTGTCAGCTAGTCGTCTACAGCCCTCACTGTACGTACGGTATATCGACGACGTGTTCGGAGTCTGGACGCATGGTAGGGACGCCCTCTTCGACTACTTCAATTTCCTAAACACGGTCCATCCCACCATCAAGTTCACCATAGAACACACCGGTGACACTGGAGTATTGGCGTTCCTGGACACAAAAATATCGATCTCTGAGTCAGGCGCATACTCCAGTGAGCTATACATTAAACCGATGGCATCACCAGTGATAATTCACTACCTTTCAGCTCTGCCAATGTCGACTAAGAAAAACGCCGTCCGCTCACAAAGGTTACGTGCTATCAAAGTATCTTCCCCTGGTCTACCACGAGCCCGTAGCCTTAAACTCATCCATGACCTATTCACAAAGAACGGCTACCCGCCCCACTTAGTTAGCAGGCTCCAACACGAAGCCCAACGTGATAACCGCCTAAGGCCGACTAGATCGGGCTCTGCCCCCGTCTATCTTGCGCTTCCATTCATTGATGATGCACTCAGCCACAGGATTGAGGGTATCATTAGGGCTAGTCACCTCAACCTGAAAGTTGCATGGAAAGGAGGTCCCAACCTGAAACAAAACTAGTGCGGGCGGCCTACCAACCAGCACCCTGCCCAGGTGGGGGCAGGAAGTGTCCATGCTGTGAGGCAGGGTTGCGTGGGAGATGTCATGAAAAGAATGTGGTGTACCAGATGGAATGTAAACTGTGCGCACAAGGCGAGTCTGTGTATGTCGGTGAAACACGCCGATCTGTCAGGCTTAGATATAATGAACACATGAGAGATGCAAAAAACAACAAACTAGACACCCCTTTTGGCCTTCACCAAACGAAACACTCTGTGCAACTGGACTGCTCAAACGTCTCAATCAAGATTCTGCATGCGTCAAAAGACGGCCCAGATAGAAAAATTTGGGAATCCATTTTTATTCGCGAACTTCAACCCACTCTTAACACGCAAACCTCGTCTTGGCCTATCATCTGAGTGGTCATTATATCTAAACTGACTGACCGTGGAAACTTGTGTGCGCGGGTGTGCGCCGTGCGGTTGTGCTGTTGTACACTTCTGTTATCGTATGCATGCATGTACTTACCTCATATATGCTTATCTCCATATTTTTAATGTTGGTCGGGGGGTCGGGACCCATTATTGATGATGTACCCACGATATATACTATCTCCGCTGAACGTATGACTCATGTTTTCGACATGACATCTTGTTCTGCACTTCATGATAAATCTTTTATGTCTCTGTAAGTTTTGCATAGATGCGTTTTTAAAGAGTAGCTGGGAAGTGCGTGTGTGATTTCTGCATGTTCGTACCAATTCGAATTTTCTGTTCCATGCAAGTTTGTGACGAAAATGACGAAAATGATCTAAATAATACATAACGGTTGATAAAGGCGCAAAGCCGAAAGCTCCCGAAACTGTATTTTGTCTTTTTGAAATTTTATATCTTTTGGCTAATATGAGAGTAAGGTTAATATCTCTTATTATATTATTATCTACATTATTAACCCTAGAACGCCTAGGGGGGGGTTGTATCAACCCCCCCCCCCCTGAGGTTTTTTCGAAGTGCACGCTAAACGGCTTGTCGTAGCGAGCTGAAATTTTCAATACCCTCTGGGGCAACCTTTGCGCATCTTTTGCCGAAAAAAAATTGATCGGGTCATGTCAGGTCACGGAGTTATGACGTCATAAGAGGTACAGCCTCCGGCCGGATTTTCACAAACTGAGTGCCAACGCCCGAGGTTTCCTGCCGGTGGTACGGACATCGGTTGATGGATCGTGATGAAACTTCCCATGCATGTTGGGGTAAGTATTGGCTATCATATGGTATAAGAAATTTGACCGGGTCAGGTCAGGTCACGGAGCTATGACGTCACAAGAGGAACGGCGTCCGGTACTATTTTTGAAAAGCGCCCGAACCACTATTTTGCTAATTCTTGTCACCTCAATGGGAATATGCAGCAATATTAGCTTCTATAGGGAGCAAATGGACCTCCCAAATCCAAAAATACAATCAGATTTCAAAAATTTAAATTTTGATTTTTCGAATTTCTGCCGCCGACTGTGACCTTGCCGACTTCCGGCGCTCCCAACGCGCCATTTTTAGAGCTAGGGAAACGAAATACATACCAAACGATAGAGAATTGATCAAGGAACACGATAGTGAAGGTTTCAAGTCGATATCTCCCACCGTTTTGCCGCAATCGCCGCCGAAAGCTGAAAAAAGTCTATTTTTCCGAAAATTTGACCTTTGACCGGTCAAAAGTAGGTCAAATGTTGACCTAGGACCAAAAAATATACCACCAATCGCGAGATCTCGTTGAGAGCAATCCGTTGTTTTTTTCCGCTAAGCTCTACGACCTTCCGTTTCGAAACGCCAGGGGGGGGGGGGGTCGTAACAACCCCCCCCCCGGTCGTTCGTGTTATGAGAAATGGCCTGGTCGTGCGAGGGTTAATTTTTGACATTTTCAAACTTTAAAAACTCCGAGAAAGCAGTCTCTAGCCGCAGAAAGTATGTATCAGAGCGATTGCCGTACGCATGCTGTATATCAAAATCGACCGAACACATGAGGTCACCTTGACGCCATTTCCGGTCCTCCTATAGCTATGGTAAATATAACACTTTTTTCACGCAAGATGTGTAAAATTGAAGCACGCAAAGGTATTGAAGTGTCGTATCAACGCGTTGGGCGGTTTAGAGGACATCGACAAAAAAGGAGAGGCTCTGTTGAACCCTCTCTGAACCCTCCCCGCCCTTCCAAGTAAAGAGCGAGTTAGGGTCGCTTAAGCCTGACCTCAGGAAGTCACATAAATTTTTGTTATCCTTGTGTGATGTATGTCATTTACCGCGAGTGCGCCCCAGCCCAGAACTTTGGTAAACTGGTCTATATCTTATCTTCTACACTTCTCTTCATATCTTCAATCTTCAAACATATCTTCCACAGGTCTGAAATACATTTGCATGCAGTAGAGGAAAATCCTAACGTTCAACGGTGGGGCCTACCGTTCTTACTCAATGAACCTGCTAATCTGACCTTGCTCTGAGTGTGGATGGGCGAGGCTCGCCAAATGCCGACTGACCAGTCGTGACCGGTATATAAGACCGGCTGACCGGTGCAGTGGACATCATTCAACCATTGTGTCTCACAGAACACACATCCTCAAATCAACCGAACATGAAGATGGTAAGTAACAAGTAACATTTAGTAACATTTACATAAGAGAACTATATCCAGAACAACGTACTTACACGAAAATCGTGTTCTCTGATATGCAATATGTACCTTCATGTCATCAACAACGTAGTTGTAATAAAACTCCTTGCTTTGCTAAATGCTTCTTTGTTTACCTTTTTTTTACTTTTTCAGCTGGTGATCGCCGCTGTCCTGGCCGTTGCTGCCGCCGACAAGCTGCCGACGTTCCCCACCTACTCTGCCCCTGCCCCGAGGGCCTACTCTGCCCCGGCCCCGCCATCCTACTCTGCCCCTGCTCCCCCGCAGTACGGACAGAAGGTCCCCCAGATCCTCTCTCAGCAGTTTGACCTCCGCGACGACCAGTCCTACGTTGCCAGGTGAGAAAGTGCTCTGTTGATCGACTTGTTTTGAGAAATGCTTACCTAGTTTTCGTTTACCAGTTCTTGAGTTGTCCAGTTTTTTTTTTACATGATTTCAAGTTGCATCGTGAAAAACAAAATTTATGTTCAGTAGTATGAGTCTCCATATAAATAAATTGTAAGATTCTATATATAATTATATATTTTCTGTCCTCAGCTACCAGACTGAGAACGGCATCTCTGCCTCCGACTCTGGCCGGCTCGTGGCCGGCTACGGCAGCGAGCCCAGCTACGCTCGTGAGGGACAGTACAGCTACACCGACGACTACGGCAACACCTACACCGTCACCTACACGGCCGACGCCAACGGCTTCCAGCCGCAGGGTGCCCATTTCCCGACGCCCGTGCCCACCGAGTACCCGACCCCGCAGGTGCCGGTGACCCAGGCCAGCTACCAGGCGGCCCCCGCCCCCAGCTACCAGGCGGCCCCCGTCCAGCCCCAGCCCCAGTACCAGGCCTACCAGCCCAGCTACCAGTAACTCATCTGCTTGTGCTTTACGTATTTATATGTTTCTCATCCCATTATCAATGCGTGCGCAACGAGTGTTGAGAAATGTACTGTTGAAATCCTCGCAATGACTGCTGCTGTTATTGTCGAATAGACACGAATAAATACTCGTAAAGTACACAGTATCTCCGCGTTTCGATGGAATATAACATCAACCGACTAAAACGCATGCTGCTCAGTGACTTTTAAAGCCCAACAAAGGCATAGCCACTGACCATTTTAACAACGATGGATGGATGATTTTGTTCCCAAACAGCTGGGAAAATTATCATTTCAGTAGAATTGAAATTAGGTTTATTCTTTCATTCTGTTTAAGTGACTGAAAAGGTAGAGCAGGGAAATTAAAAGGAGTGAAGGAGGGATGCAGGTAGGGAGAAAGCGAAGGGATATCGCGGGATATCCCTTGGGGATTACTTTCAGATAAGGGATATCTGAAAGTAAGAGTGAGAAGAGAATATAGAGCGTAGAGAGCAATACAGAGAAGGAATGAATGACATACATCGAGATAATCATGTAGGGGGGGGGACATAGTTCGCGGAGCCTGTTAGTAAGCACAGTTCACAGAAAGAACCGACTCTGTAAAAAGCCCAGATTGGAGGCTTTCTGAAAAGCATAGATCACAGGACGAACCGACTCTTTAAAAAGCACAGTTCAAGGACTCAGCAAAGTGCACAGGTCACGAACTCTAAAGAATGCTCTTCATAGGACTCTGTTCACCGACTTTGTAAGTAAAAGTCAAGAGTGCACAAACTCTTTGAAGAAGACTGTTTATGGGACTTTGCCGCAGTTCAGGACGAACCGACGCTGTGAAAAGTGCAGATGACAGGCTGTCAGAAGCTAAGTAGACGGAAAGGACAGGCTTCGTAAGAAGTTTAGTCCACCGACTATACGAGTACATGTATTGAAGGCGAAAGCATACAAACATACAAGTCATGTGTACTTCGTGATTTGAAATTCTTGCGGATCCAGAAAAGCAGTGCTAAACTCTACGGGGGAAGGAGGGCTGTGCCGTCCCCCCCCCCAAAAAAAAAACTCATCCCAAACGATTAAAAGTCCTCGCATTAAGCTTCTCTATGCACTGCCATACAATTCAAACATTTTTTTACTGGTATGAGTGGATTGGTTTTCTTTCATTTCCGGAAAGTACGGCAAATTTTCATCAATTTCAGGTGCTGTGGTTGTGGTGGAAGGGGAGAGACATTTGCCCCGAGGGCCTCGTCTTGGATTCATAGCCTGGATTCACCAATGGGACATGACTTTGCACATGAGTCTTTCCCTCTCTTGTCGTGAGCTGTAAAACGTTTGAGTTTTGGATTTATGACTCATCGTAGGTTCCGTTTTCAAGACATTTCTTGTGTATCTTTGTTTCATTAGGATACTTAAAATTGAGCTATAAGGTTCAGAAAGGATTTCCATGATTGATTGGGACACGTTGGTGATAGAGAACTTTAAACTCGCATGCACCTGGCCTTTGGTGGTGGGCACTAGGCAGTTCTTGTGACACCACTTGCATTTTTATGTTAGACCAGGTCACTGACCTACGGCGTCATAAGACTCATAAGTGTTCCTTTGCAAGGCTCTAAATTGTTGCAAGTCAGCGCAATACCCTCGGTAACCGGAAGTTTGTTTTTTTTCTCAGGGAGATATATAAAAGTCACAGGACGTAAAAGCCTACCAAATACTCACAGCCTGCACATCTCGGACTTTTCATCAAGGTCACATGAGGCCAGGTCGGGCACGTAACCTCACTATTACAAGTCGATAAGAAAATATCGAAACTTCTTTTTTGGCACTGAATATTGAAATGATCTGAGATTGTCTCCGTCACATGGAATCGCGATTTCATACACGGCGTTTTGCAAGGTTTAATTCTGAACATTTTCATTGTTCACCTTGCGCAGCCTCAGCTTTCACGACGCCAAGGACATCAGATGTTTTTGGCAATAACTATCTTTCAAATTGAGCTAGCGAGTCGAGAAAGTCTCTAATGGACTTAGAAAGACTTGACAAATCAAATGTTATGCAGCATGACCTTACCCGACCAACTTCGTGACCTGGGTGGCCTTGACCTGACCTTGACCTAAGTTCAACACCGTTTGTTGACATCTCCCAGATGAAACATATGCCGCTAGACGCGTCTGAGCATGACGAATACGACGTGGTCACAATCGCGGCTTTGTTCCAGTTGTGGCGCAGATATTCACCAAAAACCGAACCCCTCCATTGGGACATCTGACTTGAGATGAGAGGTCATCGATAGATTTAAGATCTTAGAATTTAGTATCTGTTGCTGACTGCTGTGTCACGTAGTACACAGCTGATTTTTTTCCGAAAATCGCTCAACATGGGACGAAACTACAAGGGGGTACATCCCTCAGCCTCTTTATATAGGGCGGATGGGTGCGGTGAGGTTAAAAAAAAACTATTTTTTCATGAACATTGTCAGGGGCTCCGTATCCTCTTTCACTCCGGATCGGGGTCGTTATGGAAAGGGACTGGGCCAGGGCAAAAAGCATAAACTCTGAGACTTATATTTATTGAAGCCTAAACTCAATGTATACTCAATAATCCCGTTATCCTCGTGTGATATATTCCATTTGTCCAAGTGTGGTCTCAATACACAGCGTTGGTAAACTGGTCTGTGTGATATCTTCCGAACATCTGAAACAGATTTGTGACCATAGAGGAAAACCCTAGCGGTCAACCGTGTGACCTGCCATTCTTGCTCAATGAACGAGGTATTCTGACCTTGCTCTAAGTCTGGATGGGTGAGGCTCGCCAAATGCCGCCACTGACCAGTGGTGACCGGTATATAAGACCGGCTGACCGGTGCAGTAGACATCATTCAACCACTGCAGCTCGCAGAGTTCACATCCTCAAATCAACCGAATATGAAGATGGTAAGTAATAAGCCGTTAACAACATAAGGGAACGATATCCCAAGCGAAGTCCTAATTGTATAGATAACTGTGATTCCTAATGATCATAGGCGCGGGAGCCGGGGGGCAGTGGGGGCAGCTTGCCCCCCCAACTCTGGGGCCGTGGGGGCGGTGCCCCCACAGCTTTGAGACGGAATACCACACTTTTTTTGCAAATGTTTTCTTTTTTTGTTGAAAAAGCCGAGGGGTGAAAAATAAGTGGCCTAAAACCGGTGAGAAAACTAGATTTGGGGGTACCCTAGGTTAATCTCTATTATGGTGTGCCCCCCCAGTCGGAAAGTAGTTCCCGCGCCCCTGCTAATGATATACCTTGGTGCTATCGAAATCATCATCATAAAAAAACACTTTATGTTTCCTTAGATAATAACCAATATTACTCGCATTTCTTAGTTAAAAATCGTAATGTTTTGAAGATGCGCTCCAAGTTTTCATTCATGCCTGAAGAGCTGTTATAAAAATGTATTGAACCTTCGATGGTGTTACACTGGTGTATGTTACCTGTTAACTAAATTGTTGTCATCTTAATATTTTTCCTTTTCCAGCTGGTGATCGCCGCTGTCCTGGCCGTTGCTGCCGCCGACAAGCTGCCGACGCTCCCCACCTACTCTGCCCCTGCCCCGAGGGCCTACTCTGCCCCGGCCCCGCCGTCCTACTCTGCCCCTGCTCCCCCGCAGTACGGACAGAAGGTCCCCCAGATCCTCTCTCAGCAGTTTGACCACCGCGACGACCAGTCCTACGACTCCAGGTGAGTAAATGTTCTGCTGAAGTGCTGATCGACTTGTGCGATTAGAAATGTTTAATTTACGGATACTAGCTCTTGCTTTGTCTAGTTTATTATTATGATTTCAAGCTATATCGTTTAAAATCAGATATATGTTTTCTTTTACGAACCCCAGTAGGTATCAATGAACTGTAGTTTTATATATCTAATTAATATTTTTTCTTTCCCTCAGCTACCAGACTGAGAATGACATCTCTGCTTCCGACTCTGGCCGGCTCGTGGCCGGCTACGGCAGCGAGCCCAGCTACGCTCGTGAGGGACAGTACAGCTACACCGACGACTACGGCAAAACCTACACCGTCACCTACACGGCCGACGCCAACGGCTTCCAGCCGCAGGGTGCCCATTTCCCGACGCCCGTGCCCACCGAGTACCCGACCCCGCAGGTGCCGGTGACCCAGGCCAGCTACCAGGCGGCCCCCGTCCCCAGCTACCAGGCGGCCCCCGTCCAGCCCCAGCCCCAGTACCAGGCCTACCAGCCCAGCTACCAGTAACTCATCTGGTTGTGCATTGCGTATCCTTTTGTTTCTCATGCCATAGTCAACGCGTGATTCGACGGATGCTGCGTGAAATATGTGTTCTTCGCAATGGCTGCTGCTGTAATTGTCGAATAAATATGAATATATACTCGTACACAGTCTGGATGCATTTTCATGGCATAAATTATGAATCAACGAAACACCTGCTGATCAGTGACTTTCAAGGCTCAACAAAAGCATACCCCCACTGACCACTACAACATCGAGAGATGGGAAATTTCATTCTCAAACGACTGGGAAAGTTGTTATTTCAGTAGACTTTAAACTAGGGTTACCCGCGTGCTCCGCAACGCGAAGAAGGGTTATTTTAGACCCGTGGGTATTGGGTTGGTCTGTGTCGATTTGGCTGGTATCCATTTCGTTCGATTGCTTTTCGACGGCCAAGCATTTTGTAATAAAAAAGATGCATCGCATCGAGGTGCCCGTGTCGTATTATCATGCGTTCTACTTTAGAATGATTCGAAAACTGGCGTGAAGCCTTTTGAGGGCCATCGATGAATTTCGCTAAAAATGACGATGTAATGATTTGGAACATTTACATTTTTAAGGATACTGTTGCTAATCATGCAAAAATGAAGAGTGAATATTGGACAGAATTGAATGCTCTATCCAATGGTATAATATTCAATTGCCAAAGGTATCAGGTTATGCAGCAAACCCCGTGTGATTAATAAAGTGGCACAAAATTGACAAACACCATTTGCTCCTGTGATTTGCACCACCTTGATTTGGATCAATCAGCTTTTCACAATTTTTATATGAGAGGCGGTACCTTTCTCTTGCAAATAGGCGTTGATTCAACTCGCTCCATTTAACGGTCACCTAAAAATAAAATTAATTCCAAAATCCCTCAAAAACCGCAATTTTTCAAATAAAGTGCCCTCTCCGGTGCACGTGGCGCGTGCTATCCTCTGCATTGCACACCATTCAATAGCCCGTTCAATTCTGTACACGATGCTGTTTTCCTCGTGCCGGTCGGACCCCTGGTCACCAAGATATTGCACGGGAACTGGACCCGTGTCAGCCAAAATTAGCCGTTTTCGCCCGATTTCGCACGCCGATTTATACATGTAAAGTCTATGACGCGAATTTGCACTTTTTGAGCACGCGCCACGCGCTCCCTATCAATCCGATCGAGCTGAGACCCGTCAAAGGCACGTCGCGCATCCTTGATCTATAAGTTGTGCAAATTTCACCGGGCTAGGGGCAACGATCTGGCCTGTAGTCCACGCAAAGCACCACCAAGTCGGGACCTCGGTAACGGACAGACGCACCCTCCTCAAATAGTTACGAGCGAGCGAGCGCAGCGAGCGAAGTGAGTCTTTTCAATATAACGGAAAAATCTCAGTATGAGCGGCCCGGCCCGGCCCGGCCCGGCCCGGCCCGGCCCGGCCCGGCCTGTAACGCTTTTGAGAGGCTTATATCTCAGCAACCGCTGGACCGATTGGCCTGCGGTCTTTTTTGTTGGGTAGCCCCATCCCTCTACCCCGTAATTGACTACTTTTGATACATCTCAGTGACCGTCGTGGCACGTGCCACGTGAAAAGTCAAGGGTGTTCAAGCTGTTTTGCAAAAGTAGTGATTTTGAGAGGCTCATATCTCAGCAGCCGCTTGGGCGATTGGCTTGCGGTAATTTTTGTAGGGTAGCAGCACTCCTTCTACCAAAAATAGGATACTCTCGATGCATGTGGGTCACCCCCAGTGCACGTGCAAAATACAACAATAAGAGGTGTCAAATCTATATTACTATTTGAGGAGGGTGCGTCTGTCCGTTACCGAGGTCCCGACTTGGTGGTGCTTTGCGCGGACTACAGGCCAGACCGTTGCACCTAGCGCCCTGAAATTTACACAACTTATAGATCAAGGATGCGCGACGTGCCTTTGAGGGGTCTCAGCTCGATCGGGTCAATAGGGAGCGCGTGGCGCGTGCTCAAAAAGTGCAAATTCGCGTCATAGACTTTACATGTATAAATCGGCGTGCGAAATCGGGCGAAAACAGCCAAATTTTGGCCGACACGGGTCCAGTTCCCGTGCAATATCTTGGTGACCAGGGATCCGACCGGCACGGGGAAAACAGCATCGTGTACAGAATTGAACGGGCTATTGAATGGTGTGCAATGCAGAGGATAGCACGCGCCACGTGCACCGGAGAGGGCACTTTTATTTGAAAAATTGCGGTTTTTGAGGGATTTTGGAATTAATTTTATTTTTAGGTGACCGTTAAATGGAGCGAGTTGAATCAACGCCTATTTGCAAGAGAAAGGTACCGCCTCTCATATAAAAATTATGAAAAGCTGATTGATCCAAATCAAGGTGGTGCAAATCACAGGAGAAAATGGTGTTTGTCAATTTTGTGCCACTTTATTAATCGCACGGGGTTTGCTGCATAACCTGATACCTTTGGCAATTGAATATGGTACCATTGGATAGAGCATTCAATTCTGTCCAATATTCACTCTTCATTTTTGCATAATTAGCAACAGTATCCTTAAAAATGTAAATGTTCCAAACCATTACATTGTCATTTTTAGCGAAATTCATCGATGGCCCTCAAAAGACTTCACGCCAGTTTTCGAATCATTCCAAAGTAGAACGCATGATAATACGACACGGGCACCTCGATGCGATGTATCTTTTTGTTTTCTTACAAAATGCTTGGCCGTCAAAAAGCAATCGAACGAAATTGATATTTACCAACCAAATCGACACAGACCAACCCACGGGTCAAAAAATCCCCCCTTAGCGTTGCGGAGCACGCGGGTAACCCTAGTTTGTTCCCATTTTAATAACTCGGTAATTACTGGGGCGATTTCGCTGAAACTTGGCATACAGGTAGGCACCCACCAGACAATGCATTCCCATGTGTTGCGGTTAAGGTGCTACTGCACGTGCGCACGTGCAGGGGGCGCTTCCAGATCTCGAGAACGGCTGGGCCGATTGCGCTCAAATTTGGTACACGGTTGGGAACCAGTTAGTAGGGTGCCGTGCAAAAGTCATTTTGGACCCCGTTTGCACGTGCGCACGTGCAGAATGCCGCTTCCAGATCTCAGGAACGGCTGGGCCGATTGCGTTCAAATTTGGTACACCGCTAGCGACCGGTTAGAAGGGTGCTTTGCACAAGCCCGTTGGAAGTACCCTCTCGCGCTTCCGCACGTGCAGGGCTCACTATCTCGCTCGCTCGTTCTTCGCCTAAAAGGCGTTTTACTGGTAATATAGAATAAGCTTTATTCCTTCATTCTGTTCAAGGGACTGACAAGTTTAGACCGAAAGAGAGATGGAAGGAAGAAAAGTGGGAGTGACTGCGGACTGCTGCAGGGTGAGAGTTAGAAGATAGGAAAGAGCATAGAGAGCAGTATAAGTAAAGATGGGCGTGGATAGCGGTCACTTCAGTTTTTTCATTCACTTCCATTCACCTGGCGTTTATCAGACCAGACATTTAGGGCCTAAAATAGTGATTTGTGTGGGGGGAGGGGGTGTCCGCACAGGTTATGTAACGTCGCATCTCCTCGCCTGCCATAAACACGTCATACAGAAGGGAGATACCACACTGAAAGAAATCAGTTCTGAGAGGAACACAGTCAATGGACAGGTCGCTTCAATAAAAATAAAAACGCAGATGACGGGCTTCTTATTTCAGGTCATGCATCTGACATATGACGCTTTAAGTGATGTGATCCTCTGAACAGTCCAAAGATGTCGCAAATTTCCAACGAGCCCCGTGCCAGGAAGTCTTTCACAGTTTAGTCTTCGCAGAAGTCTTTTGCAGTCAAAATTTGTAAAAATTACCGGACGCATAATCAGATGAGGCTTTGCTTTCCCAGCATCTACCCACAACTTATATGTCTCGGATTCTGAGAGCAAGCGAATTTCCTTTGACCAGCTTCGTGACCCGAATAGTGTCACCAAGACGACCCCCCGTCGCGTTTTGCCCTTAATTGAGCTAGAGCCTCACAGAAAAACCATCGTGTAGGTCGTCGCGAGGCAAAGCCAACGGTACCCGGTTTTAAGATCATAGGTCAAATGGTGACCTCTGAGGTCAGGTCAATGGCCGAAAGTCGGGACCTGTTAGAACGTCGTATAGTGTGGCTGCTAAGGGGTTTTTCGGGATGGTGATCACGAATATCATGTTAGTTTTGATCACAGATGTTCCTTCATGCATTTAGGCTAGGTCGGGTCATGACAGGTCAGGTCAACCAGTAGGGGTCCTGCCGGGTATTCGTATTAGGTGTCAACCGCCTTCGACAGCTTCGAAGGCTTACGAAGGCACCAAAACTACTTAGTAAATGTTCAGATGGTTGCTAAATTCGAATTCAGCTAAAAAACTAGTCTAGAAACATGTAAAACTCGAAAAAGTGAAACGAGTTCACCAAAGGTCAATGACCTGACCTGACCTTCAGGTGATTGCGAGAAAAAAAAACTTATAGGAGGGGTTGCATCAACCCCGTGCCATGCCGGCTTGGTCGTGACTATAATAGAACAGCTACATGGCAGCACCTTTTCATAAAGTGTAATGCTTTTTAGGTTTCTACCCCTTCAAAACTCCTTAAATTGATTCAGACAGCAAATTTGCACATTGCATCTGTTTCTAATGGGTCCACCTTTACTGCAAACTGGTATTTTTAATGTTTCAGGGGTCAAAATTCAGGGATTTCGTATCCCATTCTGCGGCGCGAGAATGTTATGGAAAGTCGAAAAGAACCGGGCGAGAGTAAACATTATAAACTGGGAGCGCCATTGTTATCGAAGTCTAAACTAAATGTTAAAGAATTTCGTTATCATCGCGTTATATATTCCATTTACCTTATAAATGTGGTCTCAAATATGCACAACTTTGGTAAACTGGTCTGTGTGTTATCTTCGGAACATCTGAAGCACATTTGTGGCAATAGAGGAAAACCTTAACGGTTAACCGTGTGGCCTACCGTTCTTACTCAATGAACTTGTTGCCCTGACCTTGCTCTGAGTCTGGATGGGCTAGGCTCGACAAATGCCGACTGACCAGTTGTGACCGGTATATAAGACCGGCTGACCGGTGCAGTGGACATCATTCAACCACTGCAGCTCGCAGAGTTCACATCATCAAATCAACCGAATATGAAGATGGTAAGTAATAAGCAATTAACAGCATAAGAGAGCGAAAAAACTTTTATGTTTCGTTAGATAATAGTCATTATTACTCGCATTTTTTAGTTTAAAGAATATCGTCATGCTTTGAAGATGCGCTCCAAGTTTTCATTCATGCCTGACGAGCTGTTACAAAAATGTGTTGAGCCCTCGATGGTGTTACACTGGTGTGTAGTACCTACCTGTTAACCAAATTGTTGTCATCTTAATATTTTTTTTTACGTTTTTCAGCTGGTGATCGCCGCTGTCCTGGCCGTTGCTGCCGCCGACAAGCTGCCGACGCTCCCCACCTACTCTGCCCCTGCCCCGAGGGCCTACTCTGCCCCGGCCCCGCCGTCCTACTCTGCCCCTGCTCCCCCGCAGTACGGACAGAAGGTCCCCCAGATCCTCTCTCAGCAGTATGACCTCAGCGACGACCAGTCCTACGTTGCCAGGTGAGAAAATGCTCTGTTGATCGACTTGTGTAGCAGGAATGCTTAGTTTACGTGTACTAGCTGTTGAGCTGTGTAATTTGTATCATGATTTCAAGCTGCATCGTTAAAGATAAAATGTATGTTTTCTAGTAGGAATCCACATGTAACAATATTGTAAGATGTTATTTCTAATTAATGTTCTTTCCCTCAGCTACCAGACTGAGAATGGCATCTCTGCCTCCGACTCTGGCCGGCTCGTGGCTGGCTACGGCGGCGAGCCCAGCTACGCTCGTGAGGGACAGTACAGCTACACCGACGACTACGGCAACACCTACACCGTCACCTACACGGCCGACGCCAACGGCTTCCAGCCGCAGGGTGCCCATTTCCCGACGCCCGTGCCCACCGAGTACCCGACCCCGCAGGTGCCGGTGACCCAGGCCAGCTACCAGGCGGCCCCCGCCCCCAGCTACCAGGCGGCCCCCGTCCAGCCCCAGCCCCAGTACCAAGCCTACCAGCCCAGCTACCAGTAACTCAGCTGACTGCTAGTCTATTTATATATGTCTGAGGTTATAGCAAATACATGAGTCAACAATATGATGATGCGTTTTCTCTGGAGCAAATTGTACGTGCTTTATTTTTCCATGTTTTTGTCTAAATAGATACAAGTAGGTATGCGTTTCATCTTTACATTTTTCTGTTGTCCGAACTAGTCAGACAACAGCACATATTAACAACAGCATACAGCACACATCTGTCAACAGCAGAAACCAGCAGACAACAGCACACAACAGCACACATCAACAGCAGACAGGAGACATCTGTCAACAGAGGAAACCAGCAGACTACAGCAGACAACAGCACACAACAGCGTTACAGCACACATCAACAACAGACAGCACACACCTGTCAACAGCAGAAACCAGCAGACAACAGCAGACAACAGCACACATCAACAGCAGACAGGAGACATCTGTCAACAGCGGACATCAGTAGTGCTTACCAGACAACATCAGACAAGGGGAGAGCGCAACAGAAACCAGCAGGCAACAGCAGACAACAGCGGACAATAACATACACCAGTTGACATCAGCAGACAACAGTAGCCATCATCGGGCATTAGCAGCGATCCACTAACGTCGCTGGATATCTGCCGACATCATCCAACATCCACCGACATCAGTGAACATCAGCGGACCCAATGAGACGTCAACAGTCGTCAGTAGCCGTCACTGTTCAGCGGACGGTGTGCTGTTAGCGCTTTTGGGTGGGCGCTGGGCTCAGCGAACGACTTCCTCAGGTGTGCTGCTGGCCGTTCGCCAGTTGCTGCAGCCGGACGCCCACTCGCCTGGTCCTTCTTCCGATTCTTCCGAAGAGGAAGTGGCGGATGACTTCTCGGCTGGCCGGGTATCCAAGACCGTAAGTCCATCCCTCGGCGACCAGGGAGATCATACGTGCCAGGTGGACCACCTGCATACCCACCTGCATGGGAAACCACCGCGAACTCAGCCGGAACAGCGAGCCCACCACGTCTAGCACCAGAAGACTCAGCAGGATCTTGACGATGCGCTTGAAGGACTTGAAGCGGAGGAAGAAGAAACTGTTGTGTTCCACCTCCCCGCGAAGAACGAATGCCTGCTCTCGCTTCAGACCCTGGACGGCGGTGTAGACGAAAAGTGCGGCTGTGCAGATAGTCAGCAGGAACAGAAGTGTCTCCATGGTTAGTAGAGTCGCCTCGGCAGTCACCGCCCAACGACACTCAGCCAGGGGCTCGGCCCCGAACATCCTCTGGTTGAGCTCGGCACGGGTCTCCATCTGCACCTGGTACGCTAACGCGCCGAACAGACACATGAGCGGCAGCAGACTCCAGCAGGCGGTCACCATGGCGCTCAGCCAGGCGTGTATGAAGAGCCGGTGGTGCAACGAGTGCACCACTGCCACGAACTGGTCTACAGCCAGGAGCAGGTTGGCCGTCTTGGCAACCAGCGCCGCGCCCAGAATGACGTACTGCAGACCGGCGCACAGCGCGCGTGGCGACTCGCCCCAGAAGATGACATCGGTCATGCCGATGGCGAATAGCGAGCAGCTGAACACGTAGTTGGCGAGAGTCATGTTCAGGATCAGCAGCAGCACCGGCTCTTCCGGCAGACGACCGTCACCCACGAGGGCGGCGAGCGGGAGAGAGAAGCTCAACATCAGAAGGAAACCGATGAGTGACTTGAGCCAGATCAGAAACATTGCTGCGGACGGGTGCCGCCGATGATGACGTGTGACGCCGCGTGGGATGCGTCCCGTCGCAGAGCACGGTGCCAACGCTGAGGACGGGACTCTTCGTAGAGGACGGGTGCCAATGCTGGTCGGATTGTTCGTCGTCGGACACTGTGACAGCGTGATAGGCTCAGACTCGTCTCGCTCCCTCGCGCTATATGCATTATGCAGGGTACGTTGTTACCATGGTTACGTCGCGTTAGAAACATGCAGCCACAACAGTAATTGCTTCCACAATGGCTCTGGAAATGGCATCCAAGAAAGGCATCGTGGCCGCGAATGTGTTCGAGGAAATGACATGCATTGGATATTGGTTTATTCATCCGATTGCGGGCTATAAAATAGTGCATTCCAGGCAAAATGCTGGATGTCTTTTTTTTACAAAAAAGACACCAAAAGCTCGGTCGCTGCTCCACACTCCTATAACCGATGTTATCATCATAATGTATGACTATGGACTTCATCACCCATTAGATTCCACAAGTGATGACTTATTATTCTTGCTAGTGGTGGGAAAGGGACGTGGGTGTATTACGGATATTACGAGGATATATTCGATATTATGTGGGCTGATAAGCGCTGCATACTTTCCCCTTATTTGGAGATATTCTTCGAATTCCTAACAACAAATACCTATAAAGAGACTCTATACCGTACAACAAACATGCAAACAACATGTAACATAGGCAAATTCAAGCACCTACTGTGCATTTAAAACCTTCTGTAAAGTCGTCTTGGTGTGCTAGCTGCTTATTTGCTATTACTATGATGTCAAATGTCCAAGAGTTGTCATTCTAGCGGTGTGCTATTTTTGTGTTAACCCTCGCCGGACCTATTGGTTTTCTACATACGCGCCGGCCGAGGGGGGGGGGGGCGGGTACGACCCCCCCCTCGCCGTTTCGCCCCTGGTGGAGCTAGCGCGTCGCGGAAAAAACGAGCGTGTGCGCCGTTACGAGACGCAGAGATTGGTACCCGATTTTAAGGTCCTAGGTCAACCGGTGACCTCTGAGGTCAGGTCAAGTGCCCCAAGGTACGGTTCAGTTTTTGGTGAATAACTTCGCAAAAAACGGCCGCAGAGCGCCGATTTTGGCAGCATCGTGTTCGTCTCGCTCAGGCGCGTCGAATGATATACTTTTTGTCCGGGTCAGGTCAATTTGGGGTGTTGACCTCAGGTCAAGGTCAGGTCAGCACCCCCAGGTCACGAAGTTGGTCGAAAGGGGTCATGTCGCATATCATTCGATTCGGCAGGTCTTCTTGAGTCCATTGGTGGCTTTCCCGACTCGCTAGCTCATTTTGATCAAGAGTTATTGACGAAAAACTAATATGACCTTGATGACGTCATAAATGACGTCACGCAAGGTCAACATTGCAAAAGTGACGCATCTAACCTTGCAAGGAGTGCATCCAATCACGATTCTGTGTGCTTGAGATAGTTGGAGATCGTTCCCGGCGCCAGAATAGCAGTTTGAATTTTTCCCCATTGACTTATAATGGTGAGGTCACGAAAATGACCTGACCTCATATGACCTTTAGGAAAAATCCGAGATATACAAGTTGTGGGACTCATAATGGATACTAGATCCTGCAAGTTTCATTTCCCTGTGACATCTCCTCTGGCAGTGAGGGCGTTGCGAAGTTGCGACATCTGAAGACCGTGCAGAGGTTCACTTATGACGTCATAGGTCAGTGACCTGACCTGACCCAAAAATGCGGTTGGTGTCAAAAGATGCGGCTTGGATCAAAGGTCAGGTATGCCAAGTTTCAGCTCTCTATCGCCAGCGTGTTCGGAGCTATCGCGAAAAAACCCTATGGGGGGGGGGGGGGCGGCACCCGCCCCCCCCCCCCTCGGCCGGCGAGGGTTAAAATTAATATCGTGTGCCTCCTGCTGGGCTTACTTCATGTCATTCTTTATTGATCACCCTGTGGCATATTGCGGCATAAGTTGCTAGGTGGTCATGGATATGGGTGTCATGTCCTTATGTTGGATTCGATGCAACTCTCATAACACACGATCTAATGAAATATTTTATTCTATCAATAATGTACATATAATGGGGCTGCAACTGCAAAAAAGTACAATTATTTTGTTGCTGTAGAGCAACATATTTATGCATGGACCATACGTAAATGAAATTGCTTACTCGCCCTCCGATTACAGTCTGCTTGCGTCAATGTCCAACTCAACAGGCAGCAAGATATTCTTCAGGTGGGCAAATTTCCTGATGGCCTCGTATTTCTGATAATACGACTCGATCTCCTCGCGCATCTGGCGACTATCCTCCACCATACGCAGGCGCTCCTGTTCCTCTGACGATTTCTCCGTTTCCAGTTCGTCTTTTTGCTCCAGACGCTTCACACGACAACTGAGAAGAGAGAAAGGTGGGTTAGACAAAGGCTCGGCAGCAATCGTGCATCAGTTTCGGTGACTGCTAAGGTTGGCAGTATCTTGAACTTTTGCGGACTTGCCAAAGTTTTTGGAGCCATGTGGAGTATGGGTTAAGGAAAGGGTTAGAGGCAACTTGTGGTTAATGTAGCCAAACGCTCTTGGCTGAAGGCACACGTTTTTGAACGAAGTGTGATCTGTGAAGATATGTCTCGACATCTTGTCTTTCCTTGGGGAAGAGAGAGTGCAGAGAGAAGGAAAGAGAGAATGCATACGATAATGTCGATAAAAAGAAAACACATTCAATTTATCACAAAACAAAGGTAACCTCAAATAAGAGATGGTTTCATTAAACCTAACTCTTGATTTCCAGCTAAAACACTTGCTTTTTATCAGCGGTGTCGACAAGAAAGGGACAAGTGTTATGCTCTGTTTACCTATTGCAGTTTCTCATGGTTCTTTTAGTGATGCGTTCTTATGTCTTACAGCAGTCTCCAAGTGACTTCAAGTCGCATTTCAAGTACTCACTTGGATGCATCTACCACTTCAGCAATCATGGTCCATAAGACCAATGACCGTTCAGCTAATTATCAATTGATGCATTTATATCAGTGCAGTGCGGCTGCCCATGCAAGCATAAGTGTAACAGTCTCAATTAGTAACTATTCGTCGGACACTTTTTCTCACCTGGCCGCGTATCCCCTGTTTTTGAGCGTGCGTCTGCGTTGTTTCATTTTCACCATCTCCTCCCTGCTGAGACCCCTCATCTTCAGCTGTCTGTTGAGGTCACGGACGCTGATGGTGACCAGTTCGTCATCGCTGATCAGGGATGACGGAGGGCTCAGCGGCGCCTGAGGGAGAGAGAGAGAGAGAGAGAGAGAGAGAGAGAGAGAGAGAGAGAGAGAGAGAGAGAGAGAGAGAGAGAGAGAGAGAGAGAGAGAGAGAGAGAGAAGAGAGAGAGAGAGAGAGAAAGAAAGAAAGAAGAGAGAGGAGAGAGAGGGGGAGAGAGGGGTGAGAGAAAGAGAGAGAGGGAGAGAAAGAGTGGAGGACGGAGATGGGGAGAAAAAGAGAGAAGAAGGGAGAGGAGAAAGAGATATGTGATTTGCGTTTCCTAGCCAATAAAAAAAAGTTCGACAGATGAAATCGGGTACTGGCTGAGTAACCTAACTTTCACTATAACTTCACCACAACTGTTTCTTATCGAAACTGTCGAAACTATGTTTTGTTTACTGTTTAGAAACTCCCTGGGAAGGGAAGTTGACCTCTATGACCCTTCGGTCTGCCCCACTGACGCGAAACCTTGTTGGTATGCATGGCGCTGTGTTTGAGTAGCGGAAAACTGCAGTTCAAACCAAAAAGTTCAGTGCATAATGTGCACTGCTACCCAAGAAATACGAGGCCAAGGCCTGACAAGGCCTTCTGCTACCAGCCACCTCCTACCGAAGCTGCTGAAGTGTAGGGGAGAGTGGGGCACATTCGTGCAAAAAATGGATAAACCCATATATCTGTTCTTTGGTTAGTGCAATGGCAAAATTGTTGATTGTAGTATGGAAAGGAACTATTGCAGATAGTTTTCCTCTTTAAAAGTTATCCTATAAAATTATTGCTTCCATTAGAAAAAATGACTTTTAATAACTCTGAACATTTGCACGAAACTGCCCCACCTATGGGGCACATTCGTTCAAGAGATGGGGCACTTCCGTTCACCCGGCAAAATTCGAGAAATTACCGGGCATTACCAGAAATTTACCAAAGGAAATTGGCAGGGGGTCATTTCACTTGATTCCTTTCGACAAGGATGCATTGCACAACAAATGTAGAAAGAATGGGCTGGCCAACAAGAATGTGCCAACTGCCGGCCTCCGTGACCTCGCCAAGTTCGCGTGAATTGCTCGTCACGACGTCGCAAGCAGTCGAGACTGAGTCAGGCGAGCGTCATTAGAGAAACCTACTACAGATAAAGTCATAAATCGCAAAAACTAAAAAAAAAAATATGCACGAATGTGCCCCCAGGCAGTGCGTACACGAACCTGCCCCACAACGTTATTAGTAATATATTTCAAAATTTCTTTTTGAAAAAATGACACTTTTTCAACAAACAAGTTTGCAGCAGTTCCGTGAATAGAGTGGGCTTCTTCACCCCCAATTTTGAAAAGCTGAACCACATTTCCGAGTCAGGATCACGAAAATGGATGATATGAGAAAAGTTTGGAAAGCTCACGAATATTACAAATTTGCGTTTTTATCAAGCATGACAGCAGGTACAGTGTTGTCTTCTACGGTGAACGAAGGGCGGCAATGAATTTTGTGTCAATGGTAATTCAATTTGTGTCAATGGTATAAGACACAAATCACAACAAATATTATCTTCATACTTGCAAGAAAGGAAGCAATGTGTGAAAATAAGAAAAGCATACTCATCTGTCAAAAATGTTACTATGGGAGTTCCACAGGGATCGATCTTGGGTCCTCTGTTATTTATATTATATATAAATGATTTACCAAACATCAGTCCTGACGTAACTTGCCTCTCCTATGCAGATGACACTGCAATCATATTTAAAGATAAATGCATACATAGCCTACAAAGAACTGTAAATGAAGTTACTGAAAAAGTCAGTAACTGGTTTCATGCAAACTTTCTTTCTCTAAACGGCACAAAAACTTTCACACAGCATTATGCAACTCAGTCTTCAGGGTTAAAAGTAAACGTAGTACTTGATTCAACTGAAATTAAAGAGAAAGAGTTTATCAAATATTTAGGAGTCTTCATCGATAAGTCATTGAAGTTCACAAAACATATAGACTATACATCAAATATCGTTAGCAGGAACATCGGAATAATGGCAAGAGTACGCTTCTATATTGATAAGAGAACGACCCTCCTTTTGTATAATGCCCTAATTCTTCCATATCTTAACTATTGCTGTATCGTTTGGGGAAATAATTACCATGCTCAGTTAGAAAAACTCATCATATTACAAAAGAGAGCTGTCAGACTAATTGAACGAGTTTACCCACCTCAGAGCTCTGTGCCTATTTTCAAAAAATATAACTTATTAAGGATAACTGATATAGCGAGATCTCATATGCTTCTTGTTATGCACAAATTTATTAAAGAACAACTTCCAGAAACAATTAACAACCTGTTTGATTTGAGTCCCGAAAACCATGCCGGCACAAGGCGTACCACTCACTTCAACCAGCCCTTCTCTAATCGCAACTACAGACTATTTACTATCAGATTTCTAGGTCCTAGATTGTGGAATAGCATTGTTGCACCTCTTTTCACAACTGTTAATCATATTCCATCTTCAAAACAAATAATAAAGAAGGTGATACGCAGACACTTTGTTGATTCATACAACACTTAAGATAAATATGAACAATTAATGAACAATCAAAACAATAATAAGAATAATCAACCTCATAGCGACAAACATTATTCCTACCTATATATTGTGTATAGCTATACTGTTCGTATATCGTTAGGGGTTTGTATAAATATGAGCTATTTCCACGGTGTACTCTGCGTTGGAAATAGTACATATTACCCACTTTGGTTTGTGGGATGCATATGTGTCGTGTGTGTATGTATGTGTGTATGTTTCGCGTACATGATACATATGCATATGCATGTATGTACGTATGTGCATTGTCATGCATGTACACAACATAACGATTCGTATATACCTATATTAAATACCAACTACAATAAATCCTTGTGTGCCGCCCTTCTCAATCATTGTCTATTTCAATTTGCATATTTACCTTATGGTAAATATGCAAATTGAATGTAGGTTACATGCATTACCTACATTGACATCTATACAACTTATTGTACTAATTCTTATAATACTCTAGTCCGTGCTGTTTCCTGAGGTTCTGTCTGGCAACAAGCCTAGCTTAGCCGGACGGAGCCAAGGGTTTCGGCAATAAAAATAACCTTGCAAGAACATGACCAGGCATGCTTTTCCCCACCTTGAGTATGAATGCGTATTGCGTTAATTACTAACACTGGTATAAATGGTAGTTGCTTGTGTTGGTATAGTGGGCAGTCATTTTGCTTCACTTGGCAATGACTACTTTCCTCCTTTTTGGCGTACTTACTAACATTTTTTAGTAGTATTGCATGCGTTATATTTTATTTATATTTTCCACTTCTTAGCAGGGAGTGCCGCGACTTGATCAATTTATTATGTTACCTGGTGTTAAAGTAAGGTCTCTGTGCGTCGCCGGGACTGTGGGAGGGGGCACTCCTGGTTACCTGATCATGGGTAACGGACTATCTTAGAAAAAAAAAAAATGATAGACATATTTCCATAATTTACCTTGAGCTCGTGCAGTCACTCGTGTTCCCATAAACTGCTGAAAACGAATGTGCCCCATGCACGAATGTGCCCCACTCTCCCCTAGACAAAGAAACGGCCATCTAGATCACGTGACTTTGTGCCTTAGGAGCGTGACAAAGACTTGTAACAAAACGGACAAATAGGCACCTTTATCGAAGCAAAAGCATTGCAAGACATCTCCGGACTCACCTTGCTATATTTCTCGCGTTTGTCTGTCTTCATCCTGCCTTGGGGGACGATGTGCACTGGACCCCTGCACGGGATCGCAAATGGCGGCCGGAAATTTTGCCTGTCATCGTTCGACGTCAGAGGCGCAGCAGTCACGTGACTTTTAGCCGCCCGTTACCAGCGGTGTAGCATGACTCGGCAGAAATGGGTACGGAGGGAGCACACTGTGTTGTGGATGGGAGAGAGGGAGAGAGGGAGAGAGAGAGAGAGAGAGAGAGGGGAGAGGGAGCGAAGAGGCATAGAAAAGGGAGAGAGACAGAGGGATGAAGAACGTAATAAAAGTAGGAAGGCAGTGAAGAAAGGAAGAGTGGGAGCTAAGCAGATCATAATGCATACCAGTAAAACGCCTTTTGGGCGAAGAACGAGCGAGCGAGATAGTGAGCCCTGCATGTGCAGAAGGGCGAGAGGGTACTTCCAACGGGCTTGTGCAAAGCACGCTTCTAACCGGTCGCTAGCGGTGTACCAAATTTGAACGCAATCGGCCCAGCCGTTCCTGAGATCTGGAAGCGGCATTCTGCACGTGCGCACGTGCAAACGGGGTCCAAAATGACTTTTGCACGGCACCCTACTAACCGGTCCCCAACCGTGTACCAAATTTGAGCGCAATCGGCCCAGCCGTTCTCGAGATCTGGAAACGCCCCCTGCACGTGCGCACGTGCAGTAGCACCCTAACCGCAACACATCGGAATGCATTGCCTGGTGGGTGCCTACCTGTATGCCAAGTTTCAGCGAAATCGCCCCAGTAATTACCGAGTTACTGAAATGGGAACAAATTTAGCACCTCTTATTGTTGTATTTTGCACGTGCAGTGGGGGTCACTCACATAGATCAAGAATATCCGACCTTTGGTAGAAGGGATGCAGCTACCCTATAAAAATGACCGCAAGACAATCGCTCAAGCCGCTGCTGAGATATGGGTCTCTCAAAATCATTACTTTTGCAAAACTGCTTGAACACCCTTGACTTTTCACGTGGCGCGTGCCACGGCGGTCACTGAGAAGTATCAAAAGTAGTCAATTACGGGGTAGAAGGGATGGGGCTACCCAGCAAAAAAGACCGCAGGCCAATCGGTCCAGCGGTTGCTGAGATATAAGCCTCTCAAAAGCGTTACAGGCCGGGCCGGGCCGGGCCGGGCCGGGCCGGGCTGGGCCGGGCCGGGCCGGGCCGCTCATACTGAGATTTTTCCGTTATATTGAAAAGACTCACTTCGCTCGCTGCGCTCGCTCGCTCGTAATAACACAGTACCGAATCCCGAGATGTTTGTCTAAGTTCCACCACCCATGAAGCAGAAGCTTGGTTGACCTTTTGTGTCTCCCCATTGCCCTCTTTGTTAGGTCAGTCATGGGTTTTCTCCGAACCTTCGTCGTACATGTTCGATGGAAAACAATCGAATTAGATAACGGCGTTCATTAACCTCATCTCTTTGATCACTTTCCATTGAAAATTTGGTAGCCTCGCTCTGTCATAGGCATCATGCACCTACGTATATCTGTCTTTATGTAACTTTACCTAAAATCTGTGAAATCAACCGACTTTATACCCATCCAATGTAGAAACAATGAAAACAATAAGCAAGGCACGAAAAACGAATTTAATGGTGGCATAGACGTGCGCTACAAGTGCATGGTGGGTAGAGAAATTGATTTACTAAACTAACAATAAATTCGTAAATATCTGATAACGTTTCTCTGAAATCATCAAGGATGTCTCCATAGTTATAGTATATCCAGTAATACCAATATCGAGCTCCGACTAAACAGTAGCACGCATACTCCGATACCAAATCCAGTCATGAACAGGCGTCTGTCTTCATATCTCGAAGAATCTCGCAAATCTCGCGTCTGAAATGTTTCTCCATCTTCTCCATGTCACGCCTAGCTTTGTCCAGATTTCGACAGAAAGTCTCCTGCGTTTCAGCAATATCATTATTTAGGAGACGAATGTTCTTGTTCAGCTCTTCCTCTGCCGTTCTGATATCATCGTCGATCTGCTGCATTGTTTTATCATTGGTCTTTTCAATATCCTTCATCTTGCCTGTGATAGTCGCGAAGCCCTCGTTCATACACTTCTGCACCTTGCAGAGGCCTTCATTCAGGCTATTATACGACTCAGTCAGCTGAGACGTCAGCTCATCGATCTTCTTATCGGCCTTCTCGATCCTCTCCTGAGGAATGTACTCCTGCTCCTTGTCGCCGTCACAGGGACTGCGGAAGCCCCTGCCGCAGTCGTCGTTGGACCGGTAGCGGTCGAAGCCGCCGCCGCCGCCGCCGCAGGGGCCGTTCCGTCTCGCGCGACCACCGTTACCCCGGCGTCGGGAGGCCATGTCTTCGGGCTGCTGACGAGTGACCACAGCGCGCTCGTACTCGAACTCGTCTTCGCCGAACTGCTCCACGCGCCGGTCGTATTCTTCGCGCACAAGCTCGTCTGCGGGATAGATATGAAATAAGTGCCGTCAGCGGATCAGCTGGTTTATACGTGACATTCTAAGATACCAGAGTGCACAGCATTGAACTTTATTGACAATGGGCTAAGCGAACACATGCTTCACTCGGGAAAAAAGTTCAAAGTCTCCCCTGGCTGATCTGAGAAAAAGGGGGGCTCAGTGACATTTGCCCCTCCCGTAGCGCCTCAAATTGGCAAAATTCTATTGTTTTCCTCGCATAGAACGGAAACTGTACAGCTTTTACAATAAAATGTCCTTTACGTTGTGCTACAGCGTCGCAAAAAAGCGGAATATGTCATATGATGCCGTTTTGCGTACCTATATGCCTCTGCATCGTGTGTACAACACCCAGTCTATGACAGTCACACCCAGTCATAGACTATAAAGAACCAGAACTGGGAAAATAGCAAAGAGGGCACCAGACGGTTCTGTTTTTTTTTTTATTAAACGCTCTGACTTTGTCCTAAATAAAGAAAAAACAAAGGAAAAAAGAATAAGAGAAGATTATTAGTCTATGGAACCATCAATCTGCAGATACTCACTTGTGTCTGGATCGATGTATTCGTTACTCCACTGGTCCCGAGGTTGTTTATTACACCGAGGTTTTGGGCCCATCACTCATGGATGCTACTTTAAAATTTGTGATCTCTGAGAAAGAGCAAATACGAGTAATTTAATCACAAGCAACTTTCTTTGAGTAATCGCGTTTTCCGTCACTTTCAAATGTTTTAAACACGTCTTTTGAAATGGTTGACCAGTTTTTCCCATATTGGGCACGCGAAAGTTTGCCGTTGCGTGTTTGCATTTTGCAGAGGCCAAACCACACTCAGAACGACTTTGTTCCTGCAGGGAGGTGCGTTGAGGAAATGCTCACGGCCGAAATTATTTCATGATTTTAATGGGAAAGGTGCAAACGATTGTGAATGGAACCAATGGGACCTGAGATTGTGTATTTGCTCACCTGATAGGTAGGGAATTTTATTTTGGGGCCTATGTTCATGATGAAATTTCTTAATTAGTTTATTTTCAAATGGTTTTCTAAATTTGTCTGATCTGACACTGCGCAAACACAAAGCAATCACGTATCATTGAAGACTAGTGCAGCAACAATATGGATTGCAACTGTAAAGACAGATCCAAGCCTAGGCCAGATGCTGCCATTGGCACTAGTATTACAAGAGGAGCATCCAAGAGAAGGACAGATTTATCCCGAAATTGTCCAAAAGTGAGTGAAGAAGGACGTGTCAACTTTCACCAAGCGATTGCTAAAGTAAAAGGTCGTCTTGACCAGACGTTTCGCAGCCTGGAAGGAGGCTTGCACGACGTTGAAAATGGCGTAAATATGGAGGTTGCAAATGTTCTAGCTAAGGTGCTTGAATTTGAAAAGTCTATGAAACCCAAACTCCTTTTACCATACAAAAGATGCAAAGAACTTGAGCGTTTGATAACACCAGCGATTGAAAGAATGCCTAAAAGAACAGCATCTGCTCGGCCTAGACAGAATCAAACAAAGCAAAACGTAAGGGAAAGGTGCAGTTCAGCAAAACCGCAACGTGCTATAGAGCCATCGGTGGCATCGACATTAGGAAGAGACCGATTCCGAGAACTTATGTACAGTCCGTCATTAGACCGAGTGAATCCATGGGAGGGCGAGGACAAATGGCGGGCATCAGATGACCAAAGAGCGTCTAGCAGTAGGGAAGAATGTTCTTCGTATTCTTCGCGAAATTGTGGTCGTGAGGAAGATGTTGACAAGACGATGCGAGAATTGCAAAGCATTAGCAAAAGCGTCAACAAAAGCCTCAGAAGAATAAGCGAGAAGTTCGTAGGAGCTGAAGGTCACCAAAATTTGGACCGAGCTATCGAAGCCGACCCTCAAATGATCCGGAAGGTCAATGAATCTCTTGCTCACATAGGAGCTGGAGCAAAACTACTCAAACGTTTGCTAGAGGAAGAAAGCCGATCTCGCCGTAGATGTTGAAAATTTTAAGTTTAGCAAGTGCAGTTTACCAAGTTTACCAGGTGGTTTTGTGACAGACCTTAAACACTGCTGCGAGTTTTGTTACGGGGCTAACTGAATCGATACCAGTTCGGTGCTTTGCTCTATCACGAATGTCGTCTGTCCTGCCTTACTTCAGTGGTTGCCATGGATGGGTGCAGGCAGCACGTCTCTGCTCCGTGAAGCTGGTTATCTTAAGTTTGCGTCACGCTTCTATCTTGAGTTACACGCTGTTAATGCTCTTATTTACACCTATTGAGAGATGAACCACTGTTTAAGTTTAGTTTTGCTTCTGACTTTGAGTTCGAATGTCTCATGATGGAGCATATATTTGTTAATCCGTGATGAACAGAAATGACTATTTTTGTGAATGACACTTTGTCATATAAAAAAGGCACTGTTCTTAATCAAGTCTTTCGTTACTAACTATCGATAAGAAGAGTTGAAATACACATGCCTCGATCTAATTGAGTATCCTCATTGAGTTCTATGAGAAAAACTACCCGCAAAACAAGTGTAGCACATATTGAATGCTCCGTCTTTGGTGACCTGACCTGACCTGACCTGACTTTTGCATGACATTGCATGCAATTAATTTTGTCTTGGTATCCTAAGAACGCGTTCTGGGTGATAAACCTGAATCCATTCTTCGTCAACTAGGTTTCAAGCCAAGGTAATTCAAGGTCAGGTCACTAGACTGCACTTCAGGTGACCTCAACTCATAAAAAGTTTCAATATCTGCCATAACTACACCGAGTAACTAATTGCTTTGAAACTTTCAGCGATTGATAAGAGCGAAAGCATGTGCAAAATTTATATCTCTGAATTTAGATATCGGTGACCTAAGGTCAGTTCAATTTTGCGACACCCCCCCCCCCCCATTCGGTATGTATAAATCAATGGGAGAAAATTGAAAGGCGCCGAAAGGAAAATTGAAAGGTCACGAAAGGTATCTAACAGTTTTTCGCAAATAACGCTTGATGGAGGCACGTTAGAGCGATGAAACGCCTTGGATGTGTTCAGCTCGACGATACGGATCGATTGGTAATTGGTATACAACTTGACCCTTTCGGGTCAGGTCATGACCTTGGTCTGAGGTCAAAGTTTCAAATTGACCTTTCAAGTTCAAATTATAGTTCATTCGATGCGTCTTGACGAGAGGAACACGATGCCGGTAAAAACAAGTTCGTGCAAGGCTTGAGTCAAAAGTTACTATATTTGAGAAAAAAACTGTTTCCGAAAAATTGGCTTATATAGTTTGGCAGTTTTTGCCCCTTGCAGGCAAAACCGTTGACGCTAGGCCTAATCTGAGAACAAAACTCAGAATGAGCGTTAATAGGGCTATCGAATGCGGTTTTCCGCGGCGCTGTGACTCTATTTGTTCCCGAGTTGTGCGTTGGCTTCTTGGAAATTGTCCACATTCGGCCTGAAAATCGGCGAAATTTTGCCCTCAATGACCTTTGGTGACCTGACCTTTGATCTGACCAAAAATAGTGACCGAAGTGTTTTCGTCATTATTTTCGGCGCTCTTTCGAACATCGCCTTCTGCGTACCGTTACGTGGCCCAGGAGCCGAGTTAGAAGTGGGTGTGTGTGTGGGGGGGGGGGGCGTTTAAACATCCACCCAGCAGGGCGTGGAAATCAAGGACCCCCAGCGGGGCGCGGGTTAACCTTAACCTATGACTTATTGGGGGAAAATGTACTCCAAAGATCCGTCTTGTTTAGAAATTTCAATGACCGTTTTCCCCGTCTTTTCAATACCATCCGTTCGACAGTTAGACAGGGGGTAGAATCTGACCCCCCAGCGCTTTCGACTGAATGCCCCAGCGGGGAGCGGGTTGAGGCCAAATCGGTTGGGCCGAGTCAAATTCGACCTTCAGTAAAAACACCAGCATGTTGCATCTCAATTATTTAAAAATTGATATAACATCTGACAAGAACGTCATTATCGGACAATTTTATCTTCGGTGACCTTCGGTTAACAGATCTTTCACCTAGCCCAAGAAACACCGTAAGTTCTTTCGTAATGATGATTGACCTTTTGAGCGCCGCTTGTTGACATACTTAGGTGGACTGGGAGCTGAGTTACAGGGTAGTACTTGGACGCTTCTTGTGCGGTTTCCTTTTACATAACCGGACCGCCGCTTACGCGCGGAAAAATGATAAAATCACAAACCTTGCTCAAGTGTATCCCTTATATTCTTATCAGAGATGGGCCGCTGCGCAAGACAAACGGCTACAAAATGTTGACCCTTAACCCTCGCCGGCACAGGCCATTTTGCGTCCTTCGACGGCACAAGGGGGGGGGGTTGGTACGACCCCCCCTCGCGTTTGGACCCTGATCGAGCTAGAGCTTCGCGGAAAAAACGAACGTGTTGCCCGTCACGAGACGAAGCCGATGATACCCAATTTTAAGGTCCTAGGTCATCGGGTGACCTTCCAGGTCAGGTCAATGACCCGAAAACCGGGAAAATCGGGACCTGTTAGAAAGTCGTAAAGTGTGCACACAGAAAAATATTGACACCGTTAGCGGTGTAATTGCACAGTACATATCTGAGCACTTGAGGAAAGTTAATTTAGTCCCTTCCCCGCTTAAATTACTCGCGCTTCTAAATGAACACCAGGAAGAAGGTAATAGAACACTGTTAGGAGGGTTGGGTGTTTTGCTACATGTAGTAAAACACCCAACCCTCCTAACAGTGTTCTATTACCTTCTTCCTGGTGTTCATTTAGAAGCGCGAGTAATTTAAGCGGGGAAGGGACTAAATTAACTTTCCTCAAGTGCTCAGATAGGTACTGTGCAATTACACCGCTAACGGTGTCAATATTTTTCTGTGTGTGGCTGCTATGTGGTTTTCCGGGGTGCTGATCACGAATATCGTGTTAGTTTTGATCAGATATGATGTCTTCAAGCATTTAAACCAGGTCGGGTCAGGTCAGGTCAGGTCAACCGGTAGGGGTTGTGACGGGTATTCGTAATACGTGTCAACCGCCTCTGACAGCTTCGTAACATGTTACGAAGGCACCAAAACTACTTCGTAAATGTTCAAACGGTTGCTAAATTCGAATTCAGCTCCAAAAACTAGCCTGGAAACATGTAAAACTCGAAAAAGTGAACCGAGGTCATCCGAGGTCACCAAAGGTCAATGACCTGACCTGACCTTCAGGTGACCTTGACACCCACCCTAATGTATGGGAGCAACATCAAATCACATGTTTCAACGTTTGAAACCACGAAAAGCTTGCAAACGCGCGGCTAATGCGAGCCGACATACGCCGAATCGCGATTTCGGCCAAACATGGTCACGGAAAAGAGGTCACAGGTCAAAGGTCATTGGGGTCAGGGTCATGAAATTTTCAGGGAACGTGTAAAATTGATCAATGCGAGGGTACTGAAAGTTTCGTCGCGATCGGCCGCTTTTTACGCGAGTTATTCGCGAAAAACCTTAGGAGGGTTGCATCAACCCCCCTGTGCCGGCGAGGGTTAAAGGGAATAGTTCACTTTTACCATGGGGTTTTGCACTGGAATAGCAGTTCCGTAGCTTGAGTTGAGACTAGCACAAATCAGGAGTTTTTACGGTCCAACGATCACCCTAGGCAAATATATTGCATTTCTCGTCCCAGAAAAAGGTCCCTTGCAGGGTCATTTCCCTCTTTTAAAACTGAATATTTCTTTCTATATCAAAATATAGAATATTTTTTTTTTATAAAAGGTTCTGTTTTCTTTGCTGATCATTTTGAGCTTAAAAAATCACGCATCCATTGCAAAAAAACTAATTTCGTGAAAGTGAACTATTCTTTTTAATTGCTAACGAATGTTACCCCGCGCCGGGCCGGTGTTCTGAGATTCCGCGCCGGGCCGGGGGAGGGGGGGGGGGTGGTGTCTGAACACCCCCCTTCTAACTCGGCTCCTGGGCCACGTAGCGACACGCGGTAAGCGGCAATCGAAAGAACAGCCAAAATCCTAAGGACGAAAACACTTACATCATTTTTTGGGTCAGGTCAAAGGTCAGGTTACCAGAGGTCACCAAAGGTAAAATGTTGACTATTTCAACATTTTCGAAACTACCAGCGGCTATCTCGGGAACCGATAGAGCTACAGCGCCGCGGAAAAGCGCATTCGGCAGCACTTTCACAGACCTTTCTGAGTAATGTTCTTAGATTTGACCTCAGGTCAACGGTTTAGCCTCCAGAGGGCAAAAACTCCAAAAATAGCCGTTTTTACGAAAACGTTTTTTCGGCAATAACTTTTGACTCAAAAAGCCATGACATTTTTTTGCCAGAATCGTGTTCCTCTCGTCGAGACGCGTCGAATAAACTATAATTTGACCTTGAAAGTTCAACTTGAAAATTTGACCTCAGGTCAAGGTCATGACCTGACCGGAAAAGGTCATGTTGCATATTAGTCGATCCGCAACGTCGAGCCGAACACATCTAAGGCGTTTTCAGCGCTCTAGCACGCCTCTATCAGAAGTTATTAGCGAAAAAACTGTTAGATTCTGTTCGTGACCTGAGATGACTTCGGGGACAAAACGAGGGGCCACAGTTGCCATTTTCCGGTTCAGTGTGTCAATTTTACCTACATCTCGATGTTTGAGAGTGTCTAGAATAGCGGTCTTGCAAAACAGACGCTTTTCAATTTTCTCCCTTGACTTATAATGGAGAGGCCGCAAAATTGACCCGACCTTAGGTCACCGATATCAAAATTCCGAGACATACATTTTTTAGATAATGTTGCTCTAATCAATCGCTGAAAGGTTCAAGGCCATCGATAAATATGTGTAGCTTTGACGAGCATTCTTATTTTTTCTGAGGTGAGGTCGCTTGGCGTGACCTGGTGACCTGACCTAAGGCGACCTGGGTCTGAAATTTTAACAACATGTGCGGAAAAGATGCACAAACAGGTGTGCCAAAAACGACGGCGCTCCGCGCCGTCGTTTTTGAGATATCTGCAAAAACCGCAGGGGGGGGGGGTGTTCAAACACCCCCGGCCCGGCGCGGGTTAAGAAAGTTAACATTTTCTTATCGATAGCATAATCCTTATTCCTATTCTGATGAGAGCATAAATATTATAAAATAAAATAAATATGGCAAGACCTTCCAATTGGTCCCTTTCAAAGCAGTGATGGGGCTGAACGAGACTGGCAGGTGGTCGAGGCACGACGAATCTAATGTAAAAAGAAAAGTTATGCAGCCTGCTTTCATTCAAACATATATTAACATGAAAACGAATCATACAATAATGTTCACATATAGGCACTGAGCACACAACAGCTTGGCTATAAACACCAATCACAGTGTTAGTTAGCTTGGCACTTGGAATTCCGCGTCGTCGCATAGAAGCTCCTGCCATTGGACGGATAATGCAGTTCAATTCAAGTTGTTTGGCACACCTGCCTGCCATCTAGTGATTGTCTCCCGCAATTCGCACATGAAATGCTGGCCGTGAACATTACAGCGACGGCAGCGCACAACACTCTGAATACGTAACAAACATTGGACGTATTTACAAACCCACCAAGCATTTCATATACAAACACTTACATCGCCTACCAATGAACACAAACACCATAACATTACACAATACATGACACTGATTGCAAATATTACGTGATCGAAACACATTATAATCACGATAAAAGTACGTACAAATGTTGACATGTTCTGGCCCACTGCGACCAACCCAAACGCTGGACAGTTCATAGTGAGGAATTGGAGCTGCTTACTCCTCCAACAAAGTATCCTGAGACGAGACAAACATATTTGAAGAGAACAAACGCTATTGGAGAAACGAGAGCGACATGTGCTGCTGTGCATCTCCAATAGTCCAGGCTAGGTGATCGCAACTCTAATAAAATGACACGGAATTGCAGTACAGACACCTGTCTGATTTAGCTTCTACTATCAACAGGTCACATACAGGCAATGGAAAACAATACATTGAAGAAATATACAGTTTTAAATTGCATCACGCCAATTAACGTGTCATATAGAGCTGAAGGAGACATGCAAAGATATCGAAACAGTATCTCGTATCATTCTAGCACAAGACAAAAGAAAATCCACTCTCTTCTTATTCACTGCCCAATTGCCCATCGATGCCACATTTAATCTTGTTGGCACTGAGTAACGAGCAATGGCTAGAGCTCGGTGAACTGAAGCACGCTACTGACACTTTGACACAACTGGCAGTACTTTCTCGGCGAGTCACTTCTGTATCTGCATGGCACTTAAAAAAAAAAACTGATCGCACAGCAATGGCACCAATCAATTCCCATTAGAATCTGTCCTATATCGGCTATATCATGAGTTTTAGATGAGTATAGTAGGAGTTGTCTACATATGAGTAGTAAATTCTTTTTTGAATTTGTGGCCGACGAGCATGGGTCTCTCACCAATCACAGCATTTGTCGAGACATCATTTTGCCATGGGGTTTCAATTGATTGACAAATCCAAGAAAACGGACTGATAGCGAATTCCGCAGGGCACAAAGTCCTCTTCTCATTCTGGTTTAAGGCCGTCTGAATAAAAAACAAGCGCCAAGAGCAAATTACCGATGGACTCCAATAAATAGCAAACAGTTAAGCCATACAATCTTCCTCCAGTTCTCACTCTAAACCAGTAAACCCCTCCCCAGTCCAAGGTCCCCATACATAGCAGGGCTAGGGCCAAACTAGACCTCGCCATCGTCTAACTTTCAGCACCTTACCACTTTGAACGCCACACTTCATTGCTCGTCCCAACTCCAAAGTCAAAGCCTCTCCACCCCTTAGTCAGCATCGCCCCCCCCCCCGAAACCCCCACTCGCTGTTCCGTCACTCCCTTTGACGTCAGAGTTTTCCGGGCGGTAGCGCCGGGAGAGTCAGTGAGGGAAGCTTCAGCTCCAGGTACTGATGCGGCACGTGAACCTGCTGATCGCCGTGCTGGACGAGCAGGTGACCCCGCCGAGAGGAGGCACCCACCACCAGCACCGTCTCGCCCTTCAGAAGGATCGCCTCGCTGCCGCTACCGTCCTCTGGAGAGAGGGAGAGAAGGGGTCAGTGAGGGGCGTATGGGGAGAGGTGGAGGAAATATTACGTCGGAGGATTGACAATCGACTAAAGAGAAATGATGTGCGCATTGTCAGCAGTTTTATGTTTCTCATGTGATATCCATTAAGTAACTTCTCAAATGCATTATAACGGCACCTTTTCCTACCATCTATTTTCTACAAACCCAAAAGCTTCCAATTTAAAAGGAACTATCCCCGCGTTCGATGTCTCCCGGACGGCAAAGATTCTATGCCGTCCGGGCCCGAAATGGCGTTCGATGTCGCACGGACGGCAAAGATTCTACGTGACGTCACGTAGAATCTTCGTCGTCCGCGCAGAATCTTTTGAGCGTACTACGGTGGGCAGAGAGGCAATGATGGCGCGTATTTCAAAAGCGGCGCAGCAGCTGTTTGCAGAAGTTGTTGACATTTGTGCGCGGTCTCTATGGAAACGTAAACTTGGGCCTTTTTCGAAACTGACGCACATTGTGTAAATGGCGCACAAAATGGCCGGTCTCGTCGTCCGCCTGTGTGCTTCATCGAACGCAAAATAGAATATTCTGCGTAGAATGTTCTTCGTCCGAGGAGACATCGAACGCGGCCTATCACTGAATCATCCTATCGAACAATAATGACTTCAAGGTCACAAACTATTTCAGATCTACCTGCTGAACACAACCATTCGTGTAAAGCAGCAAGCATCACTTCCATTCTAAATTATCAGCTATTCCCCTAAACCACTGAACAAACCCTTATTCTTCCGTCATTTTACCCTCATCACTCTCTTCCCAGCTCACCTGGGAAGTTGAGCCTCATGAGCCGCTCCTGGGGGTAGCCCAGTTTCCTGTTGCCGTCCACAGTGTAGGCTCGGGCCGGGGGTAGTGGAGGCGGCCTCTCGAGGTCCAAACCGAACAGAGAACAGGTCTGCTGGACGGCCGACGGCTCACAGCGCTCAGGAACGTCCGGTGGGGGCGTGCCTGTGGAAAGGTCAGGTCAGAGGTCAAGGTCCAGGACAGACCATGGGATTTACTCAGTGTGACAGCAAGGGGCCGTGTTGTTATCCGAAACATGATGAAATATGCCGTGCTACCTGCGAATTCGTAATTAGATGAAATACAAAACACGACATGCCAAGAATGTGCACGCTAAATATGCAGTTTACTTGTGAGGTTGTTTTCACAAAGTCTGCTCACATCCCAATAGAATTTACGCAGCGATTTTTTTCTTCTCTGATAGGCTGTGCATCGCGCATCGCTCTCTTCTCTCGTCTCATTGGTTGATCACCATGTCCCTCACCTGTGATCGGCTGCGGCCGCGGCCGGGCCAGTCCCGCCTTGGTGCGCTGGCGGTGCTCCATATTTCGGCGCATCTGCGGCCACCGGCGGCGCACCTGCCATCCGCGCCAGGCGCTCTGTACCAGGACCGCGGCACGCAGACGGATCTGCTCACGGAGCTGCTCCAGCCGCTGACGGGTCCCCTCGCTGGTGGAGAACAGAAAACACAGGTGAGAGACGGGTTAGCATGTGCGGATTTGACAGCTGAGCGACTTCAGAAAAAAACGGTGCAAAATCGACACGGCGTAGTTAGTTATCACTTCGATAAATCGAGGGCCAAAGAGAACAAATTTTCATTCAGTCATTGAAACATGTGAAACAGATTACAAGTTGTTGTATTATTCAAAGCAGAGCGATAGAAATATTACAGAACAGAGTAGATCAGGAAGGTGATCTTGTTACATCCCTTTGAGTTCATCAGGCTCATCTGCTGGCACCAGAGTGAATCCTCATGAGGTTCGCTGGCCTTAAGCGTGACCTCTCGACGGACGCCCAACACCACTACCACCCAACTCACGCGAGGAAGATGTGCCGCTTTCCGAGCGCCCAGCCGGGGCAGGGCGGCTGCTGGTCGGCTGGCAGTGGCTCCAGCGTGTTCTGATAGCTGGCCAAGATGAGACGGCAGTCTTCCACGGCCTTCTCGTCAGTCCGGTGCAGCAGTCGGGAGCGGGACAGCAGCCGGTACCGACTGTTGAACGCTCGGAAACGCATCCGGTGCGGGTAGCCTGGGGACGGAGAGTGAGCGGGCGTCACATGCTGGCCGTATCGATACGATACGATAATGCCCCACGATGTTACTATGCAATGATGGTGGAGTAATACAATGGTGTTATGGTAATGGTGGCGATGGTTCTAGTTGAAAAATGAATGTTAGGAATGCAGCAAGATGAAGGTCTCAGGAATTTATCCTGCAAACCAAATGTCACAGGGTTTCTATCGGATTTCTAGCGACTCGTCCTTAAGTCCGACTCGTCCTTACTTCTTGAGATTAGGTAATGCTCGCAGATTTGAAGTGAAGTCCGCACAGTGTTCCTGTCCCGTCTGTTACTGTCAAGTGCAGGCATCGCGAGCAGTCGAAGTGCACATCCCAACCGCAACAAAACCCCCTTCCGAGCTCCAACATTACGTTAACCCTCTGCAGCAGTCCGTGCACCATCCCCTTCTACATCTCCACGACCCCTCCTCCCTCCTCTCTCACCTGCGGCCATCAGGTTGACAGTCTCCAGCAGCTGAAGAGCTCTGATCTGCCTCATCACCGTGGTACGCTCGAAGAGCAGGGGCTGCTCCGAGTCATTCGCCTTCACACAGCGGACAAAGTGCGGCTTGGCGTGCACCAGAGTCCGTAGCAGGTTGTCCAGGCGAGTATGGAAGTCTTGGGTCAGCGTGGACACGGGCTCCTCGCCGTTCTGACTGTTTACAGAAGCAGAAGGGAGTGATGTTACAAAAGGCTGGTGCTGCGAGGGGAGAATGTGCAAACGGGGATATTTCATGCACGCACAGTCGGGAACTGAGCAAAAGTCGCGCAGCGCAATATCAATGACGTGATGCTAAAATCAGGTCTCTTAGAGAAGTTGAAGAAGCTTTCTTGCATCTTTGGTCTCTGCAATAGTATCTCTGTACAAATACATAATAGCTTGGAAACTAACTCATGAAGCAGTATACATATTCACGATACATTACGCGCTCTCGTTATGCACACCATAAGGCTACATTATTATTTTCAGTAAATCTCATGTAACCTATATCACTTTTACTCACAGGTCAGCGTTGGAGGTGGGGCTGATCCTGAAACTGACGCCTCGTGGTACCGTGTCCTGGCTATACAGCACCTTCAGCTCTGTTCCGAACAGGTGGCTGGCGAAGCCGAAGCTGCAGTTCTGCTTGTGGAACACCGAGACCAGATCGTCCGGCATACTGTCCTTGTTGGTGTCTGATGGAGAAAAAGACGAGCAGAGTTAGACAATCTGTTCTTTGATAGATGGTTGAGTCACCCCTGTGTCAACATAAGGCGACTGCTGAGTTCTGACCGAAACCGGTGGGTCATTAACTCATTGACTTAAACGTAACAATGATATCCAATTTTCCTTTCGAGAGGAGCAGAATAAAAGCGCAGAGAGTTGGAACCCCTTCCTTTGCAATCTTTATTTGCTCACGATTCCTTGAAGCATTCCATTATCTACCTCTCATTATCGCTTACATCCTCACCACTTTCACATACAATCTTCTTTCAAACTTTACATCCGCCACATACGCACCATCTACTCTTGCATTTCTTCACACTCCCCGCTCCCCTACCTTTTCTCGTCGCCCATTAAACGCTTCTCTTACACTCTAACTCCCCTGCGTCTCACCAAGAAAGTCCGCCGCCGAGTAGACTACCAGTCCTGCGTAGTGCTGGATGGCGAAGGTTCCCGGTTCGCCCGGAGGCGGGTCCCTCAGCCGTCCGCTGCTGCGGTGTGCCGCTCGCACCTTCTGAAGGTAGGTCTCGGCGGTACCCCGCAGACCACACTCCACGTCCAGCATGGACAGAAGACCCGTCCGCTGAGGGGGGGGGGGGGGAGAGGTTAGCTTGGGGTGTAGAGAGCACTAGACAGTGGAGGAACTGTGGCGAGGAGAAAACGTTACGGAAAACACGCAAAAAAAAGAAGAGGCTTATATTGTGATTCATGGCAAGGTGTAAATAAATGGAGAGGAATACCAAGTCTCGTAGCACAGACGTAGACGCCAGATGAAGCAGTAAGAATAATGCAATGAATGACCTATGTAGATAGGCCCACGCAAAATACATATTGTGAAATCTAACACTTCTTTTTAACCGGTAAGTCCCATTTTTCCACAAATATCAAAAAGCAGCCCACAAAGTATGACAAAGTATCGTGAAGTAGCGTTTCAGGAGATCGCCAAGAGCCCACCGTCAGTGCAGTACGTACCAACGAGCTGATGAGGTCGATACAGGGCACGTTATCGACGTACTCCACTTCCACCTCACAGACGATGCCCTCTTCGCGACACGACTCCAGACTCGACTTGAAGATGTGCGTGTTGTAGAAGTGCTGCATCGTCTCCGAACACAAGTTCGTGCACAGGTGCTCCAGGTGGGCCGGCTGAAAGGGAAAGAGAGGGTGAGCGAGATATGATCAATGATCATGGTAGAAGGGAACCATGTGACAGTGGTCAATGACCATGGCAGAAGGGAACTATGTGACACCGATATCGACGTGAGGCCGTGCAGCAAAGACGATGTGGAGCTAGCTGAGTGGTACAGCAAGACAGTTCGGTGGAAATTTGAACGCATCATACATTTTCTACTTGTTCATGCCTGGGGTATTATGGCCGGGCTGTTTTCAGCTACGTCAATACAACATGCAATTTCGTCCAAACAATTTTCCTTGCAAATAGCGAAAGGGGTTGAAGCACACCGCTCTTAACCACACACCACTTAGTTCTATCTACTTCATCACCGAGCTTGGGCCTTTCCAACTCCTGGAAACTTCCCATACACATCAGTTTCGGCTATCCCCATCTCTTACCCTGGGGTCCTCGAAGCCGAACATATCCAGAATGCCGATGAATCCATCTGTGGCATGTCGAACCGCCGAGTTCAACACGCTCATGCTCTTGCTGGCGCGGCTGCCGGCTGTTCCAACCGTGGAAGCGTGCGCAGACTGGGCGTCGGCGTGTACGTGAGAGTCGTCGGACGAGCACAGGGTGCCTGATCCCGAGCCGAGCCGCTTCAGCGAGTTGGCGCGGCGGACAATTGTGGCGACGGTGCGACAGTAGAGCGCCTTGGCCAGTGAGTCGCGCGTCATGCTGGAATGAGCGAGGAGGCGTTTGGGTAAGCGGCTTTGGAAAAGGGCAGTGTTGAACCGTGAACGATTTAAGGCAAGCCTATGTTCATGATGGTAATGCTGACAACGTACCAAAGAGATGAAGTACCTAAAAACAATATCTTATCTTGAAAATAAATAAAGGGAACCTTGTGACAACTGAGGCCGTACTTGTGTTAGCTTATTATATTCCTCAATCATTACTCATCATTCACAGTACCGTCAAGCAAGTATTAATCATCTCTTGAAGTTCCTTGCCGCCCGCATCCCCAACAACCAACCTAAAAACACTTCCTTGTCCTAAATGTCCACCCCTTTTCCAAACAACCCCCCACATCAGTGGCCCACTAACCTGGCGACGTTGGCGTCCCCCAGCGACTTCACCAGCTGGCCCCGCACGTTGTGTGTTCGGGTGGTGAGGCCCGCACGGAGGGCAGCCGCGCTGAACCCCAGGAGGGAGGCCACCGCCTGCAGCTGCTCTTGACCCTGTACCTCCACCTGTGGGAAGGAGAGGGGTGAGATGGTGGACATGTGGGACGTCTGGAGCTGCTGATGACCCTGTACCTCCACCTGTGGGAAGGAGATGGAGGTGAGATGGTGGACATGTGGAACGCCTGGAGATGTCCTGACCCTGTACTTCTTCCTGTGGGAAGGATAGGGGAGGTGAGATGCTGGACTTGTGGTACGTCTGGAGCTGCTCCTGACACTGTGATTCCACCTGTGGGAAGGAGAGGGGGTGAGATGGTGGACATGTGGGACGCCTTCACATGTTCCTGCTCCTGTACATCGAACTGTGGGAAGGAGGGGGAGGTGAGATGCTTAACTTGTGGGAGCTATTGATGGATGTGAGATCAGAGTGACGGATCACAAGACGTTGGTAGGCGAAAGTCTGGATAAATGTTATACCTGTTTTACCGACACAAATGTGGTAATGCAGCTCACATAGGACGTGCAAACTACAAACGGTTCAATTGAGTCGAGGTGACGGCATAACTTCAAGATAGGTAGTAGCAAGGCCGTATGGTAGTAGGTACTCACAAACGTAGACGTGCATCTCTTTTCTGCTACTTCATGTAGAACCCCAACAAAACAGCATTCAATTAACGAAACGATTTGAAATATTGGGGAGCTTTGTTGAATAAGTGCCTAGCAATAATAGCGACTATGCGGTTAAAACGTACAATTATCAAATCAGCGTCAGGGAACAGCGTTGCTTTGGAGGTCGGTAATCGGTATCATTTATACCAACTATCAAGGACGAAATATGCTTTTTAATTTTAACGTCTACCTCTTGGACACAAAACTTAGAGCTGCCCTGCTGAACTGAGGTGGAGAAATCTTGTGATATATTAAGGTCATGTTAAGCGCGGTCATGAACTTAAGCTACTTATCCAGTGGAACGACAAAGCGAATAACTTTTCCCTGTCTTACCACTCGTCTTTTCACACCTGAGCGCCGAGTGCGCTGCCAAAATCCCGCCATGAGCTGCCCAAACCCACAATCCTGGTGTAATCCTACGGTGGAACCGGCCACAGATGTCACCTTTAGCTGGCGAGAGCCGGGGATCAGCCCGCTCAGCACACGGAGGCCCGTGTTCTGGGCGGGACGGGGGCGACTCCTACCTAAGGCCCTTCTCATCCTACATACATCGTGCCTTTTTAAGCAGGATGTTACAAAAAAGGACGAAGCGGAAATGACATCAAAACCGGAATCTGATTTTGTATTCGCATGCACCTGCCTTTTCAGCACAGCAGCTGCGCTGCGTCCTTGCAATACTGCAGTTACTCATTAAACAGCAAATATAAGTGACTCGACCCACTCGGCCAAGGAAACCCCCAAGTGTTATAGATGTTCAGACGGCTCTCTGTCACAGTTTCCTGTCGTTTGTCTCAGCTTCCGACCCGTTTCAGACAAACATTTGTTCGTCGCATCCTGAGCATACCTGGATCACCAGTTACAATGGCAACATTCCGAGGGCTTCAGCCCAGCAGCATGGTGAAAGCGGAGGATTCAGTGCTACAACCGTGGGAGCGTGAGTCGCGACCCTTACAGCCGATGACATTATGAGAGACATATGACTGGCAACGAGCAGTCGCGTGTGTAACATATGTTTGGCAGTGGCAAACAAGGCTGGTGCAAGGCTTCTGAGATATAGCGTGTATAGTGAAGCTCGTTTTATGTGCGAACTACCGCTCCATGTTTCTCGATGTGTGTACTACTACTGACAATGGGAGAGTGTCTCCAATTTGGGAGCGAAAAGCGGGTCCCAGTGTGTCTAGAAAGTTATATGCATTCACGTTATGTTCACTACTTGTCAGGCAAAATTTTGTGCTGATATGTACCTACTTGAAAAAATACCGCCGAAATCTACTGACTTATTGTGTATGACTATGGAATAGCTTCAACTCCTTTCGTCTAATTGTCTTAGTTATTTACCCAAACTCATGTAGTAGAATTCCAATTATCGTACTACATGTCAAGTCCAAACCGCCTGATCAGTTGATCACCCAAGGAACCTTTCCCATCTTCAACACTCACCTCAATGCCCGCTCCGTCAGCGAACGTGACGTTTCCCAGCAGAAGCACAGCCGCCAGCACCCTGACAACATCCAGAAAGGGGATTCCCAGAACGCCCAGACACGATTTCCAGGCCCGGAACCGTGCCGCGTCCTCGGCAGCGTTCTGGCGCAGGTCGCCGCCCTGAAGGTACCGCAGACTGCACAGTGTGTGGCCGTCCAGGTGGAGACGGGCTGTCGAAAGAAGGGAGGGCGTGTTAGATGGAGAAGGGACAGAGATTCACAGGACGTTGTCTTCCTGTCGAAGATCAGTAATCGCAGAAAAGGGATTAATAAAGTACGGCGATGTACCCTAAGCTTAAGAATCATCAATATGCGATCGTTGATTAATTAGCTACTGACGGTTTATGCAAAATACCTGCAATAACAAGTATCTAACATCATATAAATCAAAAGAGCATTTAGGTAACCAATCCATTCAGTCAAGTCTTGAATATCTTATTATGATAGTAATGAATGACTGTGATATCGAAGTAATATTATCATAGCCGTCACCATAGCGACTATACAACATCGGAAACCCTGATGTATGACGTCAAGGACAACATGTCATTGGAACAATCCTCCAGTCGCGGTCATTACCGTTAAGATATCGGATCTCACAGCAGAACTAGACAAACGGGGGACGGGTGACGTGTGACAGACGATAAATAGAAAACTGTCGAAGAAAACAGTTTGTTTGGAGTACAACAGGCCTGTCAAAACCAGGATGTCTTTTCTTGTCAGGTAAGGAAATAGTGTCACCTGTCTGCTAGTGGCGAAAAACACCAGCCAAAATGTCAGGCCTGGAACACGTTATGATTGATTCATTGGGGATCTTTTACGTTTGACAAGGACACAGTATGATAGCCACGAGTTTGGCAACGATACTATCGTTTACAGGCAACCTGGAGGCTCACTGTGGAAGCAGTTTGCATTGGACATCAGCGCAAATAATAACGATGTCACGCTTCACTCGGTGCAAGAGCGTAGTTTTTGTTTGTGTCTTCGAACAAGGGTCTGTTTTGCAGCTGTATCAGGAGTCATCAAGTTTATCATCACGAAGAACCGTCAGGTGGGACGAATTTGACGACATTTACCACTCTTTGACACATAAATTTTCATGCAGCAAAGCCACCAGCATGGTTGTCGTACCGTAGCATGTGCGGTCGATCAGCAGAACACCCGTTCGTTCACCTCAGTGCACCGAGTTCATCAGATCACTGCCAGCAGGGAAGACCAACTGCTCACCTAATGCGTCAGCTGCTCAGTGAGCTATACTGGGGCATCGCTGACCCGAAACTGTACTTACAAGACACATGACGAAACCCTGCCGATATTTGCTAGCGATAACTGGCCACATGGCGTCGCCTTGGCAGCCATGTGTTGCCAATTTGAGATGCGTGCTTGTTTGAATATAGCGCGCTGTCGGAAGTGGTCTGCAATTTTTCTTCACCGACCCGGCGACAGCGCTTGTCATGTCGCCACGTTCAGCGGAAGATCATTTACATCTCAGAAAGCGGCAGACCTAGGTGCCGCCGAGCCGCGTAGGCGATCGGCCAATTGATTTGACGACTAAAGGACAAGCACAAGCGGCCGGCAGATTTTTTTCGTTAGGGGCTATCCGGATGGCTGTATTTAGAGGCAGCTTCCGGATGAATAGATGCTGTGTGACAGCAGCTGTCAAAATGTGGCCAAGAGCATATTCAAAGACCTATGCTGTATGATAATTGGGTTTGAATATTCGGAACCAGACCTACCCTAGACAAAGACGAAAGTGTTAATAAGTTTCAAAAGCTAATTCGAAGTAAGAATTTTCTAAATGAAGACAGCGGGACATCCAGGTAAAGGGAATTTTGACGTCCTTTCTCATCTCACCTCTCTCGTCCGGTGCCAGTCCGGCCAGCAGCTGGTAGAAGATGTGGTAGTTCTTCTCTCCCGCCATTGGCGCCACCACACGCGTCTGGTCCAGGAAGTAGCAGTGTATTTTTGTACGATAGAGGGCGCCATCCGTCACCTGCACCTCGATAAAATGACCCTGAAAACACGAACGAAGAACTGTGAGCATGACGAGTGGCAAAACTAAGTAGCTTAATTCACCGTTCCGTGCTTCTATCTTCAGGATGCTGAAATCCTTCTCCTCCACGCCGCAACCCCCGTCCGGGCTGGACAGGCAACTTTATCTCATGCGGGCTGCTCCCTTGGAGCGGCACCGCTGCTCCCGAGGGAGCGCACCCCGTAGCCGGGTGCAGTGAGTGCCTTGGGGCTGGGCGGCCTGTCCTCTGGACGGGCTCAGCCCCGGCGACTCACTAGGGTGCCTGCCGAGACCAATGTCTCCCCCTATATCCTATCATCCTCCCGGCTCTGCAATGGTCTCATTGGACCGAAAGGGCCTAACCCAACAAAACAAACAAACAAAAGTAGCTTAATTATTATTTAAAAAAAAAAACTATGAAAGTCAAGTGGTACAGTTCGTCAGCGCAAAGTTCAGTTTAAGAAAAAAGGAAAAAATGATGTAGTAGATGAAAAATAATGAAAAACGGTACCTATTAGAGATCCCTCCCTACCGCTAAAGTTATTAGTTAACAATTTAATTAGTAAAAATTTATGAAGGAAAATTATGAAGTTTTTGGCCTGCCTTTCAGACGCAGGCTTTTTCAGCCGCAACGTTTTCAATAAGTAGGTACCCATATCGATTTAAACGTTGCACAATTAAAATAAATCGGATGTAGGTATACGAGCTATTAACACACACACAAGAGCTCATTTGAAACACATTTTTCAAAGTCATCTACGGATTACAAGCGTTTCACAAAACAGCCATCGTCCAGTGGATCCTATCACTTTTAACACCTGCACATCCCAATGAACTTCTCAATCGAGATCCACATGTTCAACACAGGGCGTTCGCCGTTCAGGGCGCACTGAAGCATGCGACCTGCATTGAACCATGCTAGTCAGATGGGTCGACTTCCGCCACCGGGTGGCGTCGAGTCCTGAAGAGCTCTGCTTAGTATGTATCAAGTCCCCAGATCAGGACCACCCACATTGGTGGCACTGGGTTTATACAGTACCTTGCTGAGTATACATATGACATCAACATTTAGCAAGTCTTGTGCAGGAGTGGAGTAGTTAGTTCGTCGAAACATTCTACACACGTGGATTGCACTCTTTTCCTAGAGCGCTTGGAGTAATAAAACGGCACATGACCAGCACCAGAATTTTGAAATGAGACAGGGTAGGAATTGACAATTGTAAGGATCTTGGTGCATCAGGGTTGGAACTTGGAGGTGACTATGCAGGTACAGTCAAACGATAAAAGTGAGATTTGTGGCATTCTTTGGAATCGGAATTTACGTATCCGTAATGCAATAGTAGGTAAATGCCATGAAATTTACTTCGCACATTACATAAGACAACAGCTGCAACCATCCAGTGTAAAAAGGCGGTTGATCTCATTGTAACTATACGTACTTCCCCACCACAGTCCTATGACTCACAATTCGACTAGACTCGGAGTTAGAGGTGGTTTTTGCCGTGCCCAGCGACCGCAGCACGGTGAACGCGGCCGCTAAATGTTTAAACGCGTCCGTCTCAGTGCCGCCGCCGGCGACCTCAAACAGCTGACGCAGCAGTAACATGGACGTGTACGTCTTGCCGCTGCCGCTGGCACCTGTGAATAGCAGCGGTGTGACGTGAGGGTGACGTCATATGTGTTACACGCGCGTGTCCCGTCACTGGCAACGACGCTTTGAAACGGTAAAAATGACGACACGGACACTGAAAACGGAGCAATGCTGGCATCCAGCTGCGTATTGAATAAGAAGTATTTGTCTGACACTCAGTCAGCGCTATACCGCACCAAATAGCTCACCCGACACTTATGATAACTGTAAAATGTCGATAGATAGCTCAACCCATAGCGTGATACGGATACCGGATAGCATGAGGTACGGATAGGTCACGTGACAGCATGATCCCCTACAGATATCTCACGAGTCACGATCCTCTGTGGATATCTCACTCGACAGAGCCATCCCCTACGGATATCTCACCTGACAGTATGATTCCCTGCGGGTAGCCGGTGTCGCTCTGTTGCCGGACGGCCTCCCTGACCACTCTCCTCAGCTGATCGCTGGTCTCCTTAGTTCGAGTCGAGTTCAGCGTCAGAGCGTTACCCAGCTCCTTGTACGAGTTTAACGAGATCAGGATGGAGCCCACATTGGTCTGCCGGAAAAGGGGTGAGGTGATGTTACTGGTGGTAGAGTGGGTGACGGAGATCGCTAACCAGTTGATGTTGCAACAAAGATGAGCCTAGTATAGTCGAAAGAAAAATTGACACGCCTCAAAGCAGCAATGAACTTCTATTTGATATATCTAGCAAAATAACCAATAGAAAAAGGAACAAACATACAAAGACAGACATTTAAACCATTGCTATTGTTACTATTGATTCTAGAAAGGCGCAAATAAACATGTCAAGTTGTATGTAGTAACTAGGTATCACCATTTTTTACATTCACCCCTCCAGTGCTCCATCCCTCCACTGCATGCCTAAACATAACACACCGAAGCTCTGCAAATTCTCCCAACCCATATAAAACTGTTAAACATAGAAGCACATAGAGCACATAGCAAACGAAACTCACATAGAACTGGTGGTCCTGGAATCGGGAGTGCAGACACCGCATCACTGCGTGTTCTGTGAGCGGTACTTCCAGGTGACTGAGGTCCTCCACCGTCCTACAGGTGGACGAAGGGGGCGGCAGCGGGGGTCGCAGGACGCTGGCCGGCGGCGGCACCGGCTCCGTCAACCGGGACAGCTTCGGCGTGACGGCATCTGAGGGAGGAAGAGATGTAGTTGGTTAGACGGAGGTGTCACTATACACTATACAGTCAGCGTGCTGGATGAAGCAGTAGGCGGTAGAGCACTTGTACAGGAGTGGTTATTGGTGGGCTTGGGTTGCAAGGTCATTGTCACGTTTCGATGACAAGGCTTGTATCTTTTCTGTAGGTTAAGTGTAAACCACGCTATTTGTCCAGAATAACTAGAACTAAAGCGAGGATGCAGACCTATCGTTCGCACAAAAATACAGCCATGAAATAAGCAGTTGATACCAAAGGAAGAGCATACAGCTGTTAGCACTAACAGCGCTGTTTGATGTGATGATAAACACATCGCCCGGTATAACACCTTGCGGAACGCTCCTAATCAGAGGAAATCTGGCCTACCGCTGGTGCCCAACAAGGATCACAAACTCAATCAGATCAGAGATAGCTAAAAATATCGCACTACAAGGGGTGCTGCATCTAAAAGGCGCACGGCGAAATGTGAATGCTTGAGTGCCCTTTGACGTCATCCGATGTTTTGATGTCGTATAAATAAGACGTCGGCACGTATCAGACATAAAAATCGAAATCTAACTCGGCGTCAGGTGTATGACACATAATAACTATGGTTGGCATGACTTTCGCCTCAGAGCTGAATAAGGGACGTCTCATCCACGCGGTAGTTGAATGGATGAGCTGGAAGCGCACGTATAAAAAGCTCAAATAAATTGCTTGTATACCTAACCAACAACAATAAGCAGCTAAGGCACGATTAAAGAAGCTGTTTGCTTGGTTCATCACACGTTTATTTTGTAAAGCCTCAGAATGCCCGAAGGAATTTAACAAAATCACGACATTTTTACGATAGATCAATGATTTAATGTAGGTTGAAGGCAAAGTTTCGGCCATGACTGCCATGCAACAGAAGACAAGACACAAAGTACAAGTCGGTCCCGCTGCAAGTGTTAATTAACATATGAAAGTAGCCGGCAAAGTCGTGACGGTCTCAATCATGACTCTGTGCGCCGAGCTCTTTGCAATTTTAACAGAGAACAATACGCATTCAACATTATCATGCAAAACATGGAACGCCTACGTAGGCATGCCTGCACCAAACCAGTGTGGAACCTTGTGCTGCGATATAAAACACTTACATAAGGTGGCTAATCTAAGCAAGGCCCATACCATTTTTGTGAATTAATGCAAAAACATCTTTCAACTTTATATAACCGATGCCATTTTGGGATGCTGAACAAGCCACAATGACAATATACTACCCATCTGCAAGGTAGTCAAGAACTATCGAGACATAATGCAACATTATGGCCGCATGTAGTTAGCCCATTCGCTTTTCGTAAGACGCCGATTTGCAATTTGCCCATGACGGGCACTTCAAAAGCCTTGAGTATAATGAAAGTGTAAGTCAGTTGCCATGGTAAATTGGCGCGAATCGTGATCGACAGCACCTTGATTCGACCCCGAGAGCAGTAAAAACTTTCACCTGCACGTTTGCAGCGATGCGTGCGATGCTGGTGTTTACAGCTTAGGCCTGGCAACGGAGTCGTTAAGTTGGTTTTAATCTATAGCGCAGCGTGACTACATGAGCGGATGCACAAACGTAACCACAGAGCAAAGGGAGCAACACAGTAAGACAGCATTGTATGCCTATTCGTTACACGACAGACTTCACGACAGACAGACGACAAACTCGACAGACTTCACGACAGAGTCTCACTTCAGCCTTGGCAGCTATTTCGTCACGGCTTCTTATAGCGTTAAAATATGCTACAATAGAGTATTCACCCAATCTAGGAACGACCCACGCACTTTACGCGTCTTACACTCAGTCCAGCCATTTCGCCCGACCTGTTCCCGCTCTTGATCAATTCTCTTCAGGCCACCTGAGCTACAGTGGCTATGGGTGCCAATTCCCGATGCCATTTTCCCGAACCCCCCCCCCCCCCCATGTCAATGTCAACCGAAGCGTCGGTAGGCGTCGCTCTTCAGCAAAACCTGTGCTTCGAGTTCCCCGAACATGCTGCATGTTTAGCCGCTCGACGTCACGCGAACTGGCCTGGACGCGGGTCCTCGTTTCGCGTGAGGTTCCTCCGCACTGCCCCCGCACAATACCGACGGTTTGGGTGTCGTGACTGTGTGTTGACGGATGTGTCTGTGTCAGAGCAGCGGTCCGAGACCCGCCCGTCGTGTCGGTACAGCCAAAAAGGCATGCAAGCCCATTCCAGGACTCTGCTGAAAGTGCGACATGCTTGTGTCTAGTCCACATCGAGTCTCTGGCATCTAGGTATGTTGTTCTTCGTGGTATCACCGCCTGCAGTTTGTCCTAATAATCACAAAGCAGCACAGGAAACACTGATGACACTGTTCATTTCAGCAGCAACGAGAGGAGACACGCCACTGGGCGATCGTCTCTCCTCAGTCAAGAGAGAAGCACTTGCAATGTCTCATCCCCGGGAAACAAATTGAAACTAAGTATGCAAGTACTGCGTGCCGCCATTGATTTTAACATCACTGAAGGCATGCAACCTTCACGGCAGCACCGCCAGCACCGGCAGCAGTGCTGGCGATGGAGGCATTTTATCGTCCGGTTCATACCAGAGCTGATCGAAGCGCCGCCGGTGCCGGCCCAACCACCCGCGGCACGTCCGTATGGTCTGCTCCCGAGGGCCCTTTGGCGCTACCTGCCGTGCAGACAATGCAGCCGGCGGCGGCGGCTACAGCGGACGGTAGCACTGGCGGACGGAGCTAAAAATTCGACCCGTTCCGGGGTCCGGCGGACGTCATTCGGCAGTCGCTGTAAGGACCGAGGTTTTTAGATCTGTTCGCTGTATGTAGCGGTATATGATTACTTTTTCAGCACACACCCTGCTGACTTACCTACTTCCTCATGCAAATGTGCACACTGCACAGGCATGCGGTCGCTGAATTAGCTTTCGAAGAACTACAATTCTGAAGTGTCGCTGTTCGAAAATTTCCACTGGTTTTGGCAAGTTTTATCTTGCCATCTCGTTACGCTTCTATCTATTTATCAATCTATCATCGACCTCTCCAGTCTCTTGACTTGATCTTTCATGAATCAATCGATAGTCTATCAGTTTCTTCTCAAGCGCCTCTTGTCCCATTCATCGACTCAACCTTTCGACTTAGTCTTTGTGTGATCAGCATCATCGTTGATTGATTCACTCTTATCTTCAAATGTGATTCTGTAATCATCTCTTCATCCAGCACACATTCCTCTCTTCTACCACTCCTACACTCATCACCTCTCAACCCCCATCTCCCCCATCTCTCCCCCTCTACCTTCCTGCTGACCTGCAGGGGAGCTGCATTGTTGCAGCGCTGCTCGGAGCCGCCGGGGGCCTTCTGTGGCGCGGAATGTTCCCCACCGCAACGAGCGCCGTGTCCTCGCTGATTTGAATTCCCGACCGGACAGCACCGGCGGTTCTGGCGCGCGGTAGAGAGGGCAGGCTTTGGTGTCGGACGCTGGCTGTTCGCTACGCCGCGGCCGGTCAGCGGGATAGAGCATAACAAGGTGTGTGCACCGGGAGAAATTATCCCCCAGCTTCCTTGCCGGGTCATTATGTCGACCTGCACGGTGCCGCGGCGCCCAGGTTTTCTCGGTTTTATGTCTGAGATGCGAGCAATTAGGCCGTTCCCAGAGACGTTTAGTGACCGTATTTGGGGTAATCACGGACGCTGGATGTGAGGCGTCGGCCCACGCACGGTCAAAAAGAGATGAATTGGCGACAGGCACAGGATGGGTGGTGGAAAACGTTCCACTTTTGGGCCTCCTCTACTTCTGTAGTCTATTCCTGCGAAGGGAAGTCTATTTATTGAATGTATGTAGTATTGAAGTATCAGTGGTAAAGTAGCATCAGTTCAGAGCTATGTTGAATAACGTACTTATGATAGGTGTATTTCAAGCGAATTCGTATGTCACGTGTTGAATGCACGCTGAGCGCAACACTGTAAAGCCGTGCCTGTTTATGGATAAGATCTACGCTGGTTCGCTGGTCTCGCAGGCCTGCACCTGCGCGAGTCGGTCACGGCGATCATTTGTTACCACCTCTATCTTTGAGTAGCGACCACCATCACCGCCTCCGCCACCGCCGTCACCGTACGTCCACCCGCCCGCGGCAGCCGCACCTCTGCAGTGACTCGGGGCCACCCTCGGCGATCGGGAGTGGCCAGGTGGTCCCTCTCAGACCGGTAAGGCCTCACCCGTCATCTGGCCAGCCTATTGTTGCCGGGTTACCTGCCGTGCGGTGGCGCCGCCGGTTTTATTACATTATTTTATGTTTATTACTCAAAAGCTGAACGGTTAAGGGCTTGGGTGTATCCGTGTCGGTATGCTTTCTCCTCGCATGTACTATGTGAACTCTATTGGTTGTCTTTTGTCACTACATTCTACAATTATGTATTTTGAGAGCGGCAGAGCAGTTACACTTGCCGACTATGCTTATTGCTTATCATATTCCGACATGATAGCGGATCCGTCTGCGCTCTTCCTTGCCAGCTCTTCACACACTCGCCCCTCCACGTCAATAACCCAATTGTCGGTCTAACCAATGATCAGGTCGACGGCCATCGGTAAAAGAACGGCGCTACCGTTTTATAGCGTGCGGCCGGCCCCTATCCCTACCGATGTTGTGTGCTTACTGCCACATAACGTTTTTGCAGCTGCCCAGAGGCCTGTATGGGCCACTATCTGACCACGGAAGCCACAATGAAGCGCACAATGAACTGGAAGGATGCCACTGGCAGCTAAATGGGCCTCGTGAGCTACATGAGCTTGATTAGCTGGGGTGCAATGGACCGATTGGATGAGGCGAATGGGGCTTCTTGTGTGCACTGTGCATTGTTTGGCTGATCACAAAGTAGGTGTGTTTCTAAGGAAGGCGTTTTCTCAATGGAGACCCTGCGAACCAAATTGAGAAAATGAGAAGCGATGAAGGCAGGAAGACTCAGCACTTGCTGATGCTTTTTGGCGTT